CAAAATTGACGAAGCAAATTTAACCTGCAGTGCCCGTGTTTCTGCGATTCGTTGCTTTCTGCAGGTAGTTAGTTTTTTTCCCAGGCCCCAGAGCAGTACAAATAAACTAAACTAAATGCGATTGAGTTCTCAAATGCATCAAACATAATGTTTGATCTAATTCTGGATTCCGTTTATGAGCCTTTACTCAATTAAACTTTCTTCTTCTTTAGTTTCCTTTTCCTTTTCCGTTTATGTTTCTTTTAAGACTAAATGCAATTGAATTCTGAATTAAATCAAACTTGATTTTAGATTGTCCTTTCTGAATCAAATTCTGAATTAAATCGATTTGTCCTTTCTTCCTTCCTTTTCTCTTCTTGTTCCTTCCTTCCTTCTTCCTTTTATTTTTGGGATTTCCCTTTTTGTTCCACGTTCTTCTTTCTTTTCCTTTCTTGATCATCAAGGTGTTCTAAGTTAGCGATAACCTTAGCGATGAAAGAAATGGCGATGACAGATCCTTACAATAAAGCAAACAACCACTGAGTTTGGAAATTTTTGATGAACAGCAATTCCGCTGCATTTTGGTATTATATATTTAGTGTTGATTTGAATAAAACACTGTTAAGCGATAGGCCCCCCCCCCCCCGAAAAAAAAAAAACATAATCTATATTTTCGCACCAGGTGTAAATAATTTATTTTGACGGCTCACATATAAACAGGCCAGAGGGTAGACAGATAACCCTGAATCATTTAGGTTTTGGGATCCTTTATCTACACATGTGAAATCCAACTGGAGACTCCAAACTATAACATGTTTTTCCAGCTTCTAATCGCAGTTTAGCCTTCATTTCACCCGGCCATTTTGATTCCCCGAGAGTGGGAGAAAGATCCTCTTCTTGACACGTTTTTGCCCTGGCTGAACAGAATTTAGTGGTACTTCACCATTGGCTACCACAGATCCCTCTCGAATGTATAGGGTCTATGCCAAAGTTTGGAACAACAACTATACTGGTTGGTGGTTTGGAACATTTTTTATTTTCCCCAATAGTTGGGATGGTGATCCAATCTGACTATCTGACTTTCATATTTTTCAGGGGGGTAGGTATACCACCAACCAGTTCAAGTAACTAATTAAGTATGAATCAATGGGATTAAACCATATTAAACCATACTAACCATATATATCCATATAGAGGGTAGGTCAACCACCAACCAGATACGTGTCAAATCAATCCATCAGATACGAATCTTTTTTCGCGAAGGTGGGGCCTGGAGAGGAGGAGGGCGCATGGAAGATCATTGACCCCAACAAAAGATTAAAGGCGCCCGGGGGAGGATTGTTCAACATGGCAGGTTTAACAGTGGTTTATCCAGGACTATAGTGGGATACATAATTCTTAAATAAATATGTATATATATAATATAATATAATATAATATAATATAGTATAATATGTTTTTTTTGCTGGGGTGTTCAGATATTCATGATAAATGGGATCATATGAGGGGATTCGACGAACGAAATTGGCGAAGTAAACAATGACATATGGGGGCATTTTATAGGATATACATATATATTGTACAACTTAATAAGATATTTGGGTTCATCTGAAGCGGGCTATACCAATTGTTATGGCCATTACAAAATGGGAAAAGCTGATGTTTTAGCGGTGAATTTCGGGGTGATAACGAAATTGGGTATTCCACAATGGATACGTGTGAAGTCACTTGGGTCACTTGGGTCACTTGGGTCACTTGGGTTGCCGGGAGAATGGAGGAATCTACGAATCAACCAGCGACATTAAAGATGGAGTCTTTTGTGAAGGTTATGATCTGGCAATGGGAGGGCTGCATTCTAAATCATTCTAAGGAACGGAACGGGGCGGTTTTTATATCATAATTGCAGTTGAAGTGACTTTCACATCTGTCAAAACACATCCGTTCCATTTTTCACGGAGATTTGGATGCGATGGCCGAGTCGGTGAGTTGAGCGCCAGGCCAGAAAGTCCTATGAAGGTCCTTGCAAGGCGCGGTGCAGCCTCCCTGTGCTGACATGGCTTCCATGTTTGGGACCTTCTCACAGCTTAGCTTGGGGAAACTAGATTACTAGATCCTGTGATTGGGGTAATATACCCTCTGGTAATTTAACATAGCTATTGAAATTGCTCACAATACATCCCGTAGAGCTTTCCCATTGAAATTGGCGGGAAATTGCTCACAATACATCCCGTAGAGCTTTCCCATAGACGTCCGGAAATTGGCGGGAAATTGCTCACAATACATCCCGTAGAGCTTTCCCATAGACGTCGGGAAATTAGCGGAGGCTCACAATACATCCCGTAGAGCTTTCCCATAGACGTCGGGAAATTGACGGGAAATTGATCACAATACATCCCGTGGAGCTTTCCCATAGACGTCGGGAAATTGACGGGAAATTGCTCACAATACATCCCGTAGAGCTTTCCCATACTTGGCGGGAAATTGCTCACACTACATCCCGTAGAGCTTTCCCATAGACGTCGGGAAAATGACGGGAAATTGCTCACAATACATCCCGTAGAGCTTTCCCATAGACGTCGGGAAATTGACGAGAAATTGCTCACACAATACATCCCGTAGAGCTTTCCCACAGACGTCGGGAAATTGACGGGAAATTGCTTACAATACATCCCGTAGAGCTTTCCCATAGACGTCGGGAAATTGACGGGAAATTGCTCACAATACATCCCGCAGAGCTTCTCCATAGTTGGCGGGAAAATGCTCACTCACAATACATCCCGTAGAGCTTTCCCATAGACGTCGGGACAATGACGGGAAATTGCTCACAATACATCCCGTAGAGCTTTCCCATAGACGTCGGGAAATTGGCGGGAAATTGCTCACAATACATCCCGTAGAGCTTTCCCATAGACTTCGGGACATTGGCGGGAAATTAATTGCTCACAATACATCCCGTAGAGCTTTCCCATAGACTTCGGGAAATTGGCGGGAAATTGCTCACAATGCATCCCGCATCGCTTTCTCTCCTCTCTCCTCTCTCCTCTCTCCTTCCTCCTCTCTGCTCTCCTGTTCTCTTCTCTCCTCCCTCCTCTCTCCTCTCTGCTCTCCTGTTCTCTCCTCTCCTTCCCTTTCGCTTCCTTGCTCCCTTTTCCACAGCAGGCCAGCAAGAGCTGATAGCTATAATTAGAGGCTTTGGATTGCGAAAGGTTATGGAGGCCCATGGAATCCGACCTTTTTTGTCAGGAAAGGTTTGAATCCAAAATCCTCTCCTCTCTCCTCCCTTTTCTTCTCTCCTGTCTCCTCTCTCCTCTTCTCTCCTCTCTCCTCTCTCCTCTTCTCTCCTGTCTCCTCTTCTCCTCTCCCCTCTCTCCTCTTTCCTAGCCTTCTTGTCACCTGTCCGCAACCTCCTCGTAACCTTCCCTCTACTTCCCGTACCTTCCCCGTATGCCTCCCGTAGCCTCCCCGTATACCTCCCGTATACCTCCCGTATACCTCCCGTATACCTCCCGTATACCTCCCGTATACCTCCCGTATACCTCCCGTACCGTCCGTATAGCTGTTTCGTCTATTTCCCGTAGCCTTCCCGTATACCTCCCGTATACCTCCCGTATAGCTTTCCCGTATATTTCCCGTAGCCTTCCCGTATACCTCCTCTAGCCTCCCCATGTACTTTCGATAGCCTTCCCGTATACTTGCCGTAGCCTCCCGTAGCCTTCCCGTATACCCGCCTTCCCGTATACCTTCAGTTGCCTTCCTGTATACCTGCTGTAGCTTCCCCGTACATATACCTCCCATACCCTTTCTGTAACCTTGTTTGCAGCTTCCCTGTGGCCTGGCAGTAACCTTACCGGAACCTCCTCGTAACCTTGTACTTCCCGCAGCCTTCCCGTATACCTGCCGTAGCTTTCCCGCATACGGTGTGTTCACTTCCCGTATACCTCCTGCAGCTTTCCCCTAATCGTGCCATACCTTTCCCGTATATGTCCCGTAGCTTTCCCGTCTATCTTTCGTACCCTGGCCGTACCCTTCCCGTATACTACTTCCCCTACCAAAAGAACCCGAAACCTATAAAAACGTAGAACTTAAAAAAAGACGGTTTTTTGGGAAAACCCGGAGTTTTTATTTGGAGCCTTTTGGTGATAGCATGTGTGTAGGTGTAACTGAAATTCACCCAACCGGCTTCCAATATATCAGCAACGTTTGAAGATAATGTGAATAATGTGCCCCAAAGGAAATCTGCATCCGAAATCTGCATCTGGAACGTTACCACCTCTTCCTATAACCTGTTGCGTTTTCGTTCCGTAGACTTCCACAGCTTTCCCCATAACCTGCCACCCATAACCTTCTTCGTAAACTCCTGTTGCCTTTCCGCACGTAACCTTCCAGCGGCCTCCCCGCAACCTTCCTCGAAACGTTACTCAACATCCAAAACCTTCCCCGTAACCTCCCGTAGCCTTCCCTGTTTCCCTCCTGTATCTACCCACCCGGCCTCTCTCTCTCTCTCTCTTTCATCTAATTATCTTTCTATCTATTTATCTATCTATCTATCTATCGATCTATCTATCTATCGATCTATCTATCTATCTATCCATCCATCGATCCATCCATCCATCCATCTATCTATCTATCTAATCTAATCTAAGCCAATCTAATCTAATCTAATCTAATCTAATCTAATCTAATCTAATCTACTACTACCTACTAATCTACTACTACCTACTAAGGAACAAAAAGGACAGGAACAAAAAGGAAAAAGGAGAAGAACAAAAAGGACAGGAACAAAAAGGAAAAAGGAGAGGAACAAAAAGGACAGGAACAAAAAGGAAAAAGGAGAGGAACAAAAAGGACAGGAACAAAAAGGAAAAAGGAGAGGAACAAAAAGGAAACAGGACAGGAACAAAAAGGAAAAAAATACAAATCACCTAGTAAGGTTAGTGGTTAGGGTTAGTACACCTAGTAATGGTTAAAAATTTTTGATTTGAGGGTTAGATTCCCCACGGGGTTAGAAAAGCATGCGTGTAATGGTAATGAATTTGCAGTATAAGGGGTTAGAAAGGCAACTTAATATAAGGGTTAGGCGTGGTCGTGCCATCTTCAACTTGCCCTCTCCCACAGATCTCCTTCGACTTGCAAAGGATTGGATTTCAGCAGCCGGCGAGGAGACAGGCCTTGGATTTTACACGGCCACCGGGGGGGAGAGCCCTGTGGAGGAGACAGACAGAGATTTGGAAGTCAATACGCCCCCACGAAGGGCAAAAAGAGCACCAAGAGTTGCAGCCACTCCTACTGGAAGCGGCGTCGCTCCAAAGGCAAAGAAACCCACTACGGCGTCTCTGGCGGCTTCAATGGAACAACTCCTGGACGTGGTCCCATCCTTATCAACTCAGATCCAAGATCTTGCTCAGCGTCATCAGGTTTTGGAGAACAGGTTGGTGGCACCATCGAGGGCAGGGGCACTTGGACTTTCTCAGCCCCTTTCCTCTTCACTGGCCAAAAGCCAGTTTCAGCCAGCGCAGTAGCAAATGCCCTGACAGCACTTCCACCTCGTGTGCGTGGCCAAGCTCCAGTGGGTTTGCACAGCCTCAGAACTATCAGCCGGAGGAACTTGTGAACCTGGAGGAGGACAAGGGTCTGCCCAGCAGCCAAGATGGAGACCTTGCCAAAGAGGTGTTAGCGCAGTCTCAGGCACTGACGGCGCTTGTGGGACAGATTGCACAGTCTTCACAAGACCCTCTTGCCGACCTGGGACAGACTGCCGGAGCAGCAAGCACCAGAGGATCGATGGGCAGAGCAAAACTCCAAACAGAGCTGGCGACACACTCAGGGATTTTCTTCATGGCTGTTCTGAGGTCAATGGCCCGACGTATGCAGCCAACCTCACCATCTTCTGGCTCACCAGAGGAATTGTTGGCCAGGGGGATCTCTGGTACATGGAGCGCTTCGGGGGCTTTGGCCGCCACCGGGATTTGGGCCTGATCCTTTATCAGGTCATGGGGATCATGGATTTCTTGCAGGTGGGAAACATGGGTGCCGCTCGGGATGCAACAGCACTCCTGGCAGTTTGCATAGACCAAGCTGTGCTGGATGGGGGCCGTTTCGACTTAGCAGCGCTCCTGACCTTGCAAGAAGATCCTCCTTCATCGATCTTCATCAACCGCCAGCAGAGCACCCTGGCAAGATCCCGGGCTTTCTCTCAGTTGGCGGACCAGAGATGGGTTACAACCGCTTTGGCTTTTGTGAAGGAGCTCGATCTGATCCAAACCAAGCGCTTGGAGCTCTCTGGCCAATCAACAAGACCTCAGCCGGCCAGCGACTCGACAGCCAAGGCGAAGCCACAGCCGAAACGAAAAGGAAAGGGTGCCAACAAGGGCCAAGGAAATGCCGCGTCTCAAGACCCGGAGGAGGAGTGAGAGCCGCTTGCCGCCAAAGAAAAGCAAGCGCCATGAAAAGCGTTTCATCACAAGTGGGGCCGGAGTCAAACCCACTTGTTGATTCTATAAATTTTTCCACCTGGGCCATTTGTCTGCCTCGTTGGATTTTGAAGACCAGATCTGATTTTGCCTGGCATCTTCGTCGTTCCTGGTCTTTTTCCGCGCCACAGCGCTCCCAGCTGTCAACCACTGTCTTCCCTCTGCCTGCACCACCTATGCCTGTCAGAACTTCAAAGGGATTTCCCAAACTTTCCAAGAGGAGGTTGTTAAAGCTCTGCAGGGCCCGCCTGCTGCATGTGACCGTGCTTGCACTGAACTTTGTGTATTTGGGTCGCTACCCTACCTCGGAAGAGCTTGGAAGAAAGGCCAACCCTTCTCAGACTCAAGTGTTCCAGAGATTGCGTGCCCTTTTGACAGTGTGTGGATCTTCCGATGAGCGGTTCCCTTTTGCTCCAGGTAGGTCCGGTCCTGAATTGGCTGCATGTGTGTTTCAGCTTGAGGATTTTGCTTCCCGTGTTCCTGAGATGCAGAGATCCTATCTTGAGAGGCCCATTCGGTTCTTCAAAAACCCACACCTCTTGCCGCATGATGACTATCCTCAGTTGTCCCCTTACAGGTCTCTTGATGTGTCGCGCTTGAAACTTGTTGGAGAGGGTCATTGGGATATGAGTGAGTTTTTGGAAGGGCCTTTGTGGTTGCCGTTTCTTGAGCCTGCCATCCTGCGTCATGGACTCCCAGTTGATGAATCTTGTGCGCCTCGTTTTGACTTGGAATCTCGCGAGGAGTGCCTCAAGCTTGTTCGGTTGTGGGATTCAAAAGGTTTGGCCGAGCTGTTTGACTCCCCAATTGAGGAAAACATGTTCTGTCGTTGTTTCAATGCCTTCAAGGACCTCACGAAGGACAGACAGATTGGAGACCGCCGCATGGTCAACATGAGTGAGATGGCTTTTGATGGTCCCTCAAAGTTTCTTCCACCAGGGCCGCTTTTGGTGCAGTTGAAGGTCAGGAGGTTTAGAGAGAAGCTCGTTGCCTCTAAAACGGACCGTCGTGACTTTTACCACCAAGCGAAGGTCAGCCTGGAGAGATGTCAGAGCAATCTTCTGCCGTTCTCGTATGCCCTTGATGAGCTGCAGGATTTGAAAGCTCTTGAGAAGTTCTGCAGTCGAGCTGATGAGAAGACATCCACAAAGCGAGAGGTTGTTGGGGATAAGCTGGGTTTTTCGCAAAAGCATGGTCGCGCTGTGTCCCTGCCAGAACGTCTTTTCCCAGGGTTCTCCTCGCTTTTCCAAGGCGACCATTTGGGGGTCGAGTTTGCCCTTTGTGCCCATCAGGTTTTGTTGGAAAGACATGGACTTTTAATTAACGACCAGCAGATAAAGGGGCATCATGGTTTTCCGACTGGACCTTTGTACTCTGGACTTGTGATTGATGACTCCTTTTTGATTGGGCGGGAGGCTTCCGGCACTTTGCCGATTCACACTGCCGCTGCCCAGGCTTTGGTTAAAGCCCGAGAGGTCTATGGTTCCCAGAAGCTCCTTGGCTCGGATGAAAAGGACATTGAAGCTCAAAGCAGGTTCAAGGCTGCCGGAGCGGAGGTTTTGTCTGACTCCCTTGCCGTGTCTTCTGGATGTGTCACTGTTGGAGCTCCTGTTGCAAAGCGGCTGGCTTTGGCTTCTCTTTCTCTGAGAACCGCAGCTCTACCTGGAGTCACCCCAAATCTTGCTTCGAGACTTGCTGGAAATTGGACTTCTGTTCTCATGTATCGTCGGTGTCTTTGCGCAGTGGTTGACGGGCTTTTTGCACTTGGCACTCGAGCGTTGGATTTCAGTCCTGACACTGTCATGCCTCTTTCCAGGAGCACTTGTCGTGAGTTGGTTCTGCTTTCTGTCTTGGCTCCAGTGATGTGCTCAAACGTTGCTGTGAACTATCATGATGAAATCTATGCCACTGACGCCTCATTGAGAAAGGGAGCAATTGTCAAAGCCCCTGTTGAAGATGAAGTCTGCGAGAGGCTGTGGCTTGACTCCGATAAGAAAGGGGCTTATGCGCAGCTTGAGCATGGTTTTCCTGAGATCCTGAAGCATGTTGGAGAATGTGATGTTGAGGACGAGCCAGTTCCAGAGGTCGTTCGTCCAAAGGCCTCCCCGCTGTTGTATTGGACTTCTGTTCTCATGTATCGTCGGTGTCTTTGCGCAGTGGTTGACGGGCTTTTTGCACTTGGCACTCGAGCGTTGGATTTCAGTCCTGACACTGTCATGCCTCTTTCCAGGAGCACTTGTCGTGAGTTGGTTCTGCTTTCTGTCTTGGCTCCAGTGATGTGCTCAAACGTTGCTGTGAACTATCATGCATGCATGCACTCTGATGTGATATATATATATATTATATGATGCACGACAGTAGAAGGCACGACAATACAATATGATATAACATATTGCATTATAACATTGTAATATAATATAATACAATATGAGATGTTATTACCACATTCAATGTGGTATGATATGCAGTAACGTGATATGGCATAATATGATATAATACTGACATGAAAATAAATGATAAGACAAATATGAATACACATATAATTATATTTACATACATACAAATGCAAACTATGAATATATGTATATATATATATATAGACGGAGTCATAACATAACTACCAATATAAGTGTGTGTGTATATATATATATGAAACACATAAATATGAATATAAATATGAATATACATATACACCTATAAGTATATATATATACACTATCAATGTAAACATTAATACAATATAGATATAGATGTAGCGTAATATAGTATAGTATAGATTATTATTACATTTTTGAAAAGTCACCTATTTTTGCCTAGTCTAAGCCGGTTTCAAGGGCCTTCACAACCCAGATAGACGTTTGGGGTATTTTGAGTTCACAGGCAGAAACAGTGATGTAATCGTGGCTTTAGCTGTTGTGGTTGTTCAACTGCTGGAGCCAATACTTTTTTGTCCTTCACGTGTTTTTCTCTTTGTTTGCAGACCGGTACTTGAGACTGATTTTTTCTTTCGGAATACTCTCGCAAATGATTTGATATATTTTGCCGACTTTTGTTGCAGCCGAAACCCAACACTCTTTGTGGTTTGGTTTGCCACTATCCGGCTGCAGGCACGACGACCGGCGAGATGTCAGAGGCTTCCCGCAGCTTCATGCTGCGTTCGATGCCTGCCTCTTAAAGGGCTACAATATGCTACAATATGCAAAACATATCCTACAAGATGCTACAATGGGGTTCTAAAGAATCTAGACTCTAGACATTTCATGACACTTGCAAGATATCTGATTTTTTCTGCTGGAAAGTTTACCCATGTTTAATCCCCTTTTGATTAAGATCCAACGATAGATTATGAGCCAAGTCTGCCACATCCAAGGCCAAAGTGCCAGTGCAGCCGTTGCCAGGAACAAGAGATCAGGCGAGAAATCCCGAGACATTTGGCACATCAAAACACATCATTTTGAGATTTCTTATTTTCGATTCAGTACCAAGAGAAAATAGTAAGGAAAAGTTGAGAAAAGAGGAGAAGAGTAGAGAAAATGATGCACAAATGATATGACATGATATGACATGTATGAAGAAGGGAACAAAAACTTCGTTGCTCCTCTGAAGGTTCTGTTCGGTCGTAGGTGACCTGCCAAGACTGTAGCTCGTGTCTCGGCCCGTGAGGGTCTCTGATGCTTTGCTGGCTCCTGTCGAAGTAAACAAACACCAACTCAGGAACCTTAGACTTCTTCAGGCAGCTAGTGTAGCATCTTTGCGTTTTACTCAGGCATAAAACAGGGACCAAAACATAGACAGCAACAAGAGCTAGTGAAGGGAGACTTTTGGTGAAGGGAGACTTTTGGATCGTGTTGTCATCGTATTGATTCTGACTCTTTGGCCTGACTGCAGAGACATTCTTCGCAAAGCGAAGATGAATGGAATGGCGTGATGTTTTTGCATAGTTCATGAGCTTTGAGCGATGCAAATGCATCTTGGGCCAGACAAGGGGCTTTGCTCGCTGTAGTCTTGGAACCTGCAAGGCTGCCAGACTTTTGACCCAAACAAAGATGTTTGCCTCATCCTCTCTGTAGTTGGCTTCAGATGTACTTAGGATCATGATGCCGTTGATGGACATCAGATTGGCATCAACTTACCTTTCAGATCCAGATTCCACAAGCCTTGCCCACCAGACAGATGAACGCTTCGAATGGCATATCAGGACACATGTTGAACCAGTTGCGGGGGAACCTATAGGTTGCATTGAGAGCCATGGCGAATATTGTTGGAGGTGTCCAAGGCCAGATACATGCGTCATTTCAGCCGGAGTCCATGGTGAGTTTCTTTTATTGGCCATGTTCCGAATGGGAAAAACAGCAGTGTATCTGCCAACTGTGAACAGATACACCCAAAGACGCTGAACCAGGGTGATGTAAAAGTAGAATCAGAAACCTGCAGGCGATGTGTATAGGACAAAGTAGGCTGCCGCTGACTTTGTAAATCCTTGGTGCAGGTACTGTCAAGGCATGGGTTGAGGCGAGAGGTATGGGCTTCATTACACCGGCCGATGGCAGTGCGGATGTCTTTGTGCATCGTAGTGCATTGGTGGACGGCAACGCTCTGGTGGTTGGATCCAGTGTGATTTTTGAGTCTGGTTGGGACGATGCCAAGAGCAAACCGATTGCCACCAAGTGTGGTGGAGCAGTGGGCGCAACCAATGGCAGTGTACCTGGGTCTCCCACGCCATTGCCCAATGGACAACCGGGCACTGTTAAGGCTTGGATAGAGAATCGTGGTATGGGCTTCATTACTCCGGCAGATGGCAGCCAGGATGTCTTTGTCCATCGGAGTAATTTGGTTGATGGAAATAGTCTCGTCACCGGGGCACAGGTGATATTTGAGGCTGGCTGGGACGAGCAGAAGGACAAACCCACTGCAAAAGCAGTCACTGGAGCTTCCACAAATCTTGGTGGTCCTCAATCTGGTCATCCGATGGTACCAAATGGACAACCTGGCACTGTGAAGGCCTGGATCGAGACCCGCGGTATGGGCTTCATCACTCCTGCGGATGGACGTGATGACGTATTTGTCCATCGCAGCAATTTGGTTGATGGCGACTCCCTGGTGGTGGGAGCACAAGTGATCTTTGAGTTGGGCTTCGATGCACAAAAGGGCAAACCGATCGCCAAGGCCCACGTGTCACAATTTTCGTTCTGACTTGAAACTTGCTGAAACACTAAATCATTTGTCAAGACACTGCTGGTACGCTCAAAATCCTCACAGAAAATTGGATACTCTTGATGTTCCCCTAAGGTTTGTTGTCTCCTTGTCTAAAATGTCCGAACATTTTCACACCCCAAGGCCCAAGGGTCCCAAATCCACGCATCATCACAGGCCTGTGCTGGTGCCGTGCCAGGCGGGTTCACTGTGATTGCTGCGATTCCCGCCTATTTGACATTGAAACATACAGGTAGTGGAATCAGCTGCTAAACATGTTGAGTAAGCAGATAGGTTTCCCCAAATCCTCTCGTGAATCATCATTTCCATCATTTTTCCCGTCATTACATGGGCAATTCTTCGATGTTTTCGGGGTATACAGTATACAGCATGCCCCAGGCCAGGGCGGACCTCCGCCGGGCATGGCTTATGGAGGCGGAGGCATCCAGACCGGTGGTAAGGTGCCATGGCAGAATTATCATGATATATACTTGAAAGAAATGGGCATTCCATACACCCATACTTTCATGCCATACATACTTGTTTGGCTCAAGATGTCCACGTTAAAAGGCCGCAGCCGCTGCCCGGGATCAGTTGCGGTCTTGCTTACTTGCTTTTCCTTTTGGGGGTGGTTAAACAACAATTCAACTGGTTATCAGCCGTAGTTCGCTCCTTGTTTGACCCCCAAAAATTACTTTCACATTTTTGCAGTTGGCGACTCCCTAAAAGTCTGCACATGGGTTGCTGAGGGTGCTGGCCAGGTTGTGTCGACATCTGCATCTGTTGAGGCTAGGCCTAAGGTCGATTCTGGAGCTTCTTCATCTACAAGGCGTAAGGCCGAATCTGGAACAGCATCCTCTTCTTCAAGGCGACCGCAAGTGATTATAACTGAGGACGAGCCAAGTGAGCCAACTGCTGCATCATCATCGTTTGTTGTTGACCCATATCGTTTCTCAGGACCTTAGTGGCATAAAGCATTCCCTTTTCAGAACGTTACTGAATCTTTTGGTTTTCATCCTTGGGATCTCAGTCCGGCAAAGCTGCATCCGAGTGTGAAAGAGCACGCCGGTCCAATCTCTTGCCAAAGGGTGCATTGGCTGGTCGATTTCTTCAGAGCCATTGTTGTCGACTGCAGTTGTTGTCGACTGCAAAGCAGTTTGTAAAGTATTTTTCCAGGAGCAGTGCCTGATTTGCCTCGATGCTGTAAGGCTGCGTCAGCGCCACGGCAGGAGTACCGTGCTCCAGAGTTTCATCGGCATTTTGCTGCGTATAAGTCTTCAGGGTCTCGGCATTTTGCTTTGAGTTTGAACCCAAGACTGCAAGTTGAATTCTCGACATTTTGCTTTGAGACTTTTACGGAATTGGCATTTCGCCACAGCAATTTTATCCGCCATCATTGTCTTTGGACTTTATCAGCTTGGCAGTTTCTTCAATCCCATAGTGGAATTTGATTGTGATTTGCCTTGAACCTTTTTCTTTTGCACAGAGATCGCATTTTGCAGTTTCGACTGCAAGCCCAAGGGTCTCACTGCAGTTGTATTACAGCTGGATTGTTTCGCCGCAAGCTTCAGGGTTGTTTCACTGCATCATCAGCGGTAGTTTCACGCAAGTGCATTGGAATTTGGATTTATCGTTTGAATAGAGTGTCCTTCAGCTCTTTCTTTTGCAGTTGATTGCCGTGAATTACTGTAAGCAATCATTTTGAAATATCCTGCGCCCCTCACCGCATAGCTGCGTCAGTGCTTCAGTGAGAAGGGTTTTGCCTGCTTTCTTTTGGACTTTTGATCCTCCACAATCAACTTGTTTGGCTCCTTCCAGCACCACGGTGGATTGACTAGCTTGGATTGTTCTATTGAATCACATGCATAGCCGTGTTTATCTTGTGGACTTTCTATTGCGATGTCAAGTTCAGATCCAACATCAAATCTTGATAGTTTAGACATCAGTACTGAACCAATGGACGTTCCAGCAGCAGTCGGAGAAGCTGCATCCAGTCGGAGGAGTGCATCATCAACACCTCGGCGTGCCCGTTCCAAAAGTTTGCAGGGGCAGGGACAGGGAAGGCGCAACATGTCACAAGTCATCAAGAGTTTGCCAAAGGTTCTTGGTTCTGGTAGACGGTTGGCTGTTGCTTCAACTGGTCATGAAGGTGGCTTGGAATCCCAGCCATCACAGTTGCCTTCAAGTTTTCCTTCCGAAGGGGCCCAGACTTCGGTTCACAACACCTTTGAATATCATGATCAGCGATCCCAGCAAGTTCATGTTGGAGTAGATCCCATGGTGTTTTCAAGCATGGTGTCCGAAGCCAGACGGGACATTCAAGAATCAGAAGAGAAAGCCCAGGGTTTAGAGCAATTAGCCCAAGAAGTTTACCAGCAAGCATGTATCCGGATTCAAGAGCTTGTGAACCTTGCAGAAAGCCTTTTTCAGTCCGATTGTTCCACAGCTTCTGAAGTTGAAAAGCTTCAGAGGGATGTCCAGTCAGCCTGTGATCAACTCCAAATTCAAATCAATCGCAATCAAGCCATGGGATCTCAGATAACTCAGTTTGAATCCCAAATGTCCAATATCCAGAATTTATTTGGTCATAAGATGTCATAAGGACGCTGAGATTACACGCCTGATGTCCGAAGTTTCCCGTCTCCAATCGAGTGAAGCTCGGCTTGAGGGGAGGTTGGCAGCTCTAAGCGCCGCTCCCTCTGCTGTGGCAGCAAGCGTTGAGGCACAGATGAGGTCTGCTCAGGTAGGTGGACGTCCCAGTGATCCACAAGCCAATGTTTTCCAATCATCAATGGAGCAAAGACTGGAATCAATGATGGCAGCTATCCAGTGTCAATCCAGTCAACCCCAATAACAACAGCCGCTATCCACAGCCTTCAGGTTCGATCGATCCGATTGGCCCTCCTGAGCCGCCTCCAAATCACGGCGACTGGTCGGAGGATGAGGGGGGTGATGGAGAGGATGAGTTGATTGTTGAAGAAAAATTGAAAGGGATCTTGTTGGCAATCGTGCCCTTCAAAGTGCAAAGTTGGAGCCCTTGCCCAACAATGCTGCCGACTTCAGAGCTTGGAAAAATTCTTTGATTCTGATGTTAGGACGCCTATTACCGATCCCTCTTCTCCGGTTTTACCCACGACTCCCATGAAAAGTTGAATTTCTCGACAGGTGGTGGTTTCAAGAAGTCATCTCACACCATTGGATTTAAGGACCAAGATGGAATTTTGAGTGATGCCAACCATTTTCTTTTGGATTTTTGTCCGATGGTCAAATCAATTGGCCTTGATGTGGAGCAGAATGGATCAGGATTCATTTGGCTTCCGGGCTCTTTGCCCTTTCTTGTTCGCGATCCATCCAAGTGCCATCTTAGTTGTGATGAGGAGAACAAGTTTTTTGCAGCAAGAGTCACCCACAACGTTCCGTTCTTCAAAAACAATTTCACTGTTACCCCTGGTAAGCCTGCAGAACCGTTTCATGGAAGTAGTGCCATCGATGTTTTGCCTCCTTTAGATCCTGCTGCGGAGCTGGTTGAAGTTCCTGAAGTTTTGTCAGTCGAGCCAGGCATTGAGCCTAGCGTAGATCCTGGGATAGCGACCCTGCATCCGTGGAACATGAGATTCTTGCTCCCCCTCCATTTGATCACAACTTGACTCATTTTCCAGAATTGTCCACATGTGATGTTTGCAATAGGGCCAGGCTTTACAGCAAAAGCGTCAAAAAGTAGGAGAGTAGTCAACGAAGAACTTGATCTTGCGGAGCCTGAAGCTTTTGGACAGCAGTTGGCATGTGACCATTTGATTGTCTTCAAGTCTTCAAGAGGCAAGGAGCATGCAGTGTTGATCGTTCAAGATCGGTTTTCACAAGTTTTGCAAGCTTATTTAACCATTTCATGAGAAGCATCCCAATTAGCATCAAATCTCAAGCATTTTGTGGGTTTGAAATCAAGCTCGTATACCATTGTTCGTTCAGACGCTGCCGGAGAAATCTTGAAAGCTGTCATTGAGAACAATTGGTTGCCAGAGAGCTCAGTTCCATCTCGTTTTCCGCGCAACTCCGTCCTAGAGCGTGAAATGAGGACCTTTCAAGAGATTGCCAGGTCATTGCTTTTGCAAGCAGGTTTTGCTGCCAGACCCCGGCTCTGGCCTCAAGCATTTTCGTACGTTGCAACTGCCATGTCTGCATTCTTAAAAGATAGTGAGGGAAGAACGCGTTGGGAACTTGCATTTAGAAAAGAGTTTCTAGGACCTCATTATTTGCTTGGTCAATTGGGTTTTGTTAGAACCAAAGATGCAGGAAAGTTCAAGTTCAGCCCAAACGCAGAACCAGCCGTTTTTGTTGGATGGCGATTGGACTTTGGAATGAGGTATCGAGGTGTTTCGCAATTTGTTTTGTATTCCCACCTTCGTGAAGATGCATCATCTTATCCTGTATCCCAATTTCATGACACAGAGGTTTGTGTGCCTGGAGATGTAACCTTTCCATTGGCCAGTGCAGCTGAAGCTGCTTTGAAGGAACTTGATGACCCCAGACTCACTGAGCTTCATGACATCGACGCAGTGCCGATTCCATTTGTGGATTCCGAGATTAAGCCAAAGACTCGTAGAGTTTATGTAACTTATTCCCGAATGCTCAAACTTGGTGCCACAAAAGGTTGTAAAGGTTGTGAGAACGACACTTCATCTCACAATCAAGAATGCATTGCGCTTTTTGAAGAAGCCTTTGGTCGCAAAGATGCAGATGGATCATTTGTTGAACCCGATGTTCCAACGTCTTCTGAAGTTCCTGCCCTTGAGCCAATGTTCATCAGCGATGAGGTTTCCGGCGGTGGTTTTGCAGAAGACCTTTTCCCTCCGTCAGATCATGATGAACCTTATGAAGCTGAATCTCCAGTCAAAAATCCTCCTGATGTCTCGTTTCATGATTCAGACGCTGATGATGAATCTGATAAACCTCCTGCCGCTGGTTTAGGTGCCGTAGCTAGTATTGCCTGCGATGCTGCAGCCAGCTTGCCACAAGAAGAAGTGCAATCAATGTTTTAGGGATCTTTTGATCAGGGGGGGCAAATTGGCTGCCTCGGCGTCGCTGCCGCTCCTGAAAAGAAGCCTCCAAAACATGGCAGGGCAAAGCATAGTCGCACTGGTAAGGATGTTTTGTTCGAATTTGCTTGCGCCAAGGACTCCAACCTTAGCAAAGTTGGACATGAAAATGGTTTGAGAGTCATCCGGCTGTGCAAGGAAGATATCAATTTGGAAGATCCTCACAGCGTAGAGCAGTTCACCACTCAGGTAGGTGCTTGAGAAGGGTGCTCCATCCACGGGTCCATCGAATGCAGGCCCTGGAGCCAATGGCAACATTTGAATCGGATGAAGTATCCGAGACTGGCGGCTAAGATTAATCAAGAACAAGCCGAAAGTGGTGCCTTGGTAGAGCAATTCATTCGGGTGGCTAACATATGTCTTGACAACGGTGCACGCTATTGTACTGTTTGGGCTTTGCCATCAATTCAATCGTGGATTTTTGAGAGAAACTTGCATTCAGCCACTTTCAATGGCTGCACGGTTGGTGTTGAAGCTGATGGCCAACCGGCCAAGAAGCCTTGGAGAATTCTCACCTCTTCATTGCGCTTGGCAAAGAATCTTGCAGTTTTGAAGTGCACCCACAGTAATCATTCTCCACTTCAAGGAAAATGGACCAGAATGTCAGCCTTTTACCCACGAAAGCTTTGCAATATCATGATTCAATCATTCTTTCCTCATGTTGTCAATCAGCATGTGTGCTCTATGCCATGTTGCGAGATCTAAGCAGTCTCACCGCCAAAAGCTTGTCCCAGGGTATCCGTCAGTTCCCCTTGACATTGCGATGTTCAATGTAGGTTGCCAAGAAGTGGTTTCTCCTGCTTATGTTCATCGGCTTTTGGAGCGAAGTGAATGGAAAGACCGCCCAGAGGTCTTGTATGCCATTAACTCGGAAAAGCAAGGACTTCTTGCGAATGGCACTTGGGATGAGTCAAAAATCCGTCCCAAAGCAGAAGTCTTAGCTGAAGCACGAGCTAAGGGCCAGAAAATTCATGTTGGTGCTTTAATAAAAAATCGTAATAGTTAGCATTAAAGGGTATGAAAAATCTCCATCAGAATGGGTCATTAAAGCTCGCATTGTCTTTAGGGGTGATGCCGTGCGTGATGAAGCCAATCAGGCAGCCATCTTTGACGAGCTCGTGGCTTCTGCACCAACGAGCTTTGGTGGTCTCAACATTATCATTGCTTTTGGACTTGTCAAAGGAAACACATGTTCAACCTCAGACTGCATTAAAGCGTATGTCCAAAGTTCTTGACTCATCATGTCCAACATATGTTTTGCTCCCTGCAGAACTTGTGCAGAACTTGTGCCGACTCATGCCAAGCACATTCATCAGCCAGTTGCCCCGCTCATCCGATCTTTGTATGGACATCCTTTAGCATCCGCTTCATGGCAGAATCATCTTGCCACCATTGTTGTCAAAAGAACTTGGAGGCGTTGAGATGCCAGAACAACCCAGTTGTTTTCACTTCCCATCCATGAGTCTAGCCCTCAGTCTTTATGTAGTCGATGATTTGACGCTGAGTGGTCCTCAAAAGAACCACAGTAAGTTTTGGTCGACCTTGCGAAACATGTTCAACTCGAAGAGCCCGCCGAGCTTTCAAAAGTACTTGGTGGGAATCATGTCATGTGCGATCAAGGACTTGCCCTTCACCCTGCAGACTTTGCAAAGCAGTATGTCGAACTTAACGAACAATTGTCCGGCAAGAAGGTCAAGCATTTCCGCACTCCTCACTGTGTCCGCGGAACCTTGGTTGATACCAATGATCAATGTGTTGGACAGCTTTCAGCATCATCTGCAAAACTGGTGATGAAGCTTATGTGGCTCGGACGAATCAGTCGTCCAGACATCATGGTTGCCATCAACACTCTTGCACGTAATATCACTCGATGGAATGCCAATGACGACAAGCGTGCCGCTCGTTTAGTCGGCTACATCACTGCCACCGTTGATTACGCTCCCGTCATGCGAATCAACGACCCTCCAGCTAAGCTGTGGTTGTCGCTCCTTGTTGACAGTGACTTTGGTTTGTCACCTGACATGAAGTCGACAAGTGGCTTTATCATCGCTCTTGAAGGCCCAGGTTCATTTGCTGTTATTCTTTGGGAATCAAAAACCCAGAGAGCTGTCTTTAGATCAACGACAGAAGCTGAGTTTGTGGCCTTGAGCATTTTGAATTTGCTCTGCATCAAGCCCATTACAGCCATTTAGGTTTGGACTTTGTTTGCAGGAATCCTCCTGTCACAGTAATCAAGCTGCTGTTGACAAACCTTTTGGAAGCTTCCAGAACTCGTCAGTTTAATTTGGGTACCCAATTGCATCTGCTGTCGTCGGGTTTCAGTATGTTGCACGCCGTTCAAGGCACGCCGTTCAAGGCACATTTGTTGATGTAACTAAGTTCCATCTACAATTCAGTCTTTGGATTTTGCTTAGTCATTTCCTTTGGACTTTCATCACAACTGCCGAAGTTTAATTCAGCATGTTGCAGTCGCTGAGCGCACATCAGTGCGGATGTAACTAAGTTCCATCTGCACTTTCACTTTGGACTTGCTTTGTCAGTTCATCTTGTCACTTGGTTTTCTTTGGAAATTCCTTTGTCCTTGCCTAATGGCGGTTGGCTGCTATGGCGCCTCACCTATTGCATTTTGGACTTCATGCATCCATAATTAAATTGGATTTCATGCATCCGTAATTAAGCTAGGTGCACGGATAGAAATTGCCAGGCATGGAATTTCTTAATGGAATCATCACATCCCTTGCCTGGAATCATCAACTGAGCCGTGAGACACAGTAGTCAGCATCCAGGCCTGATCACCCTGCGTTAGGTTGCCGCTTGTGATTGACCCTGTACAGTTCATGGTAAGGGGGGACTTGAAAGAAATGGGCATTCCATACACCCATACTTTCATATGTAAAGTACCCTTCCTTACAGGTCATTCACATCGCCATATATACTTGTTTGGCTCAAGATGTCCACGTTCAAAGGCCGCTGCCGCTGCACGGGATCAGTTGCGGTCTTGCTTACTTGTTTTTCCTTTTGGGGGGGTTAAACACCAATTCAATTTATATCGTGTATATACATATAAGTATGTATATACATATAGTTATATACTACATATTATACAATTATATATATATATACAATTGCTCCCGCCCCCATGATCTACCCAACACGGCACCATTGCAATCAAAAGGATACCCAATATGCATGTGAGCTTTGCATGTGAGCTTTACCACAAACCTCAGAGAAACAGATGTATGGTACCAGTCTGTGAATTACCATTTTGGTTTCTTAACCTAGCGATGCACAACATGAAACAAAACATACTCACGGAAGGTATCTGTACACCTCTTCTTTTGGATATTTGTTTTTTCGATGAAGTAGAGGTAACATAGTGAGAACAATGTTTTGATCAGCCAGATTTGACAAAAAAATTGAATATACCTGCATTATAGCTTCAATATACCTTTAATATCCATTTATATTGACCATGAACATATGTTTAATAAACCCTTAATAAACCCTTAGTATACCCTTAGTGTTCCTTTAGTATACCTTTAGTATACCTTCAACATACCTTTCAAATACGATCTAATACACCTCTAACATACTATTTGATATACCTGTAGCGTACCAGTGGATATATGATGAATCTACCTCCAATATACCATTTAATTGACCTTGTAAATACCTTCAATATACCTTACTGTACCTTAAATATACCTTCAATACATACTGTATATCTTCAATATACCATTATATACATATATACACCTTTAATATACAATGAAGTTTATCTTTTGTATACCATTCAATATACAGTGAATATACCTTTTGTTTGCCTTCAATATACCTTCAATATACCATTTTATTGACCATGAACATATCTTTAATACCTTCAACATATTAAATTGCACATGAACGGTTTATTAAAAGCAAATTAAATCGTAAATATAGGTATACTAAGGGTATGTCTATATATATATACAAATATAAAGTATGCCAAGCTATATATTCTTTACTCTATATACACATGATTATAGTTGTATATATATATACATACATTCATTACACAGTATAAGTATGATTCAAATTATATCATGAAACTGTGTAGACATTCTGGAAGTTTGTGTAGAATGTGTTCTTCCTTCGTCGCATCACCTAACCCCCAAAACTTGTTTGTGTTTGTCGGATGCTGATTTCCTGCAACAGAAGTGCCTGCTTGCTTTGAAAGTAGAGCACCCAATAGGACATTTTTTTGGATTGTTCTGCTTGGCCAAGGTCTGGTTTGCGGACAAAGGATATGGCCGCTTGGTGTAACACTCTATGAAGCTGGTGCAGACTGAAAAAACATTGCAACATATGTGCAACAAGTACATTGAAGCGGACAAGAAGATCAATCGGACAACAAGATCCAAACCTTTGTCATTTCCATGTGCCGTGCGACAAAATGCACAGCAACTTGATACTTGCTTGTAGTTGCTTTGTAGCCACGTGAGATATGTTTTGCTTAGGCGATACTTCCGACAACTGCTTTGTCTCCGGGCTTCCGTGCCTTATCTTCAGCTGGAACTGGAGACTTTTTTTGTTCCTCCTTTTTGCTCAGTCTCTGAAAGTACTTGGGTCTGACAAGAGGATGGGTGAGAAAATTCCAAGTTCATGTTTAGTTTCAATCCTAACACTTATGAACAATCCTCGAAGAAACATAGTGGTAGGATTAGCCTTTCTTGTTTTGCATGTCCCAGTGCACACAACCTGCCCAACTTCAAGCACATTGTTTGCGGACCTTGAACCACAGCATACTTTTACAACATACTAGTGATTGGCTTTTCATAGGTCCACCGTTTACACTTTGTGCATTTCTCACTTTGTGTACAGTTTAGCTCAAGACATCGACCGCATGTCAACCATGTGGCCTGTCAACCATTTGTGTACGGCTATGTACAACGAGCTCAAAAGCATTTACATGGATTGACAGGACAAGACACAACTGTGTGGAAGGCAGGCACGCAACGCACGCAACATATGGACCACAAAAAAACCGCTGATCCTGGTCAGCGAGATTCATTTTGAAAGCCATCGGATGCCTACTCCTTTGCATGACTCCGTACGACACAATTTCACCGATGTTCAGTGGCATGGACTCAAATGTGTCCTCACATGCCTCACCTTTCCAGAATTTAGCCCACGATTTCAGAATCTTTCGCAGTGTTGCGTTTGCACTCACATCCGTCACATCCGTCACATCCGTCACATCCACTAAAACTGTGCTATACGGCCTGGATTGTTTGGACAGCAGACCAACCAGGAAGGACAGACAGACAGGTGCCAATACCTTGATATGTCATGCAGCCTCTTGGAATGACACGCTTGACACGGTACGCAGCAGTGCTCACCACATCACAGCTCCCATATCACATGATATGGCATGGCTGTCCACAATGTCTCATGGCATTCTTGTGGTGGCAAGCTCATCAAGGATAACATCAGAAAGGATTACATCTCGTATTTCGTGCGGATCCACACTGTGACACACGTGTGGTATGTGGAACGCCGGAATAATGATGATCTGAGTGGCCTTGGCTCACCAGGCTTTCCATTTCGAAGGCCTTGACAGGGCAGGAGGCATTTGTGGAGCAGGACTTGGTGTGGGCCACGATTGAACTTTGAAAGCAACAGCAGAAATAGTGAATAGTATGAATACATGATATACACTTAATTTTCTACAATGATGGAATCATAACCAGGGGAAGCCTTGGTGCATCACGTGAGATTTGCCACAACTCAAGAGAACGTCCAAGCATGAAGTCCTTTTGCAAGTGCACCACGACTAGTGACTCACATCGGATACCAAAACCTTGTTGTCCAATATTGCAATGTTTAAGATTTTTCTTGTAGCTAGGAGAGGGCTGCGGTGTCATGGCCGCTTTTCTGTTCTGGTTGGAAACATCACTAAACATCCTCTTCTTGTCGTGGCTACTGCTATGTCTGATAGCAAGTAGTTGTCGTCATGGACATGGATGGCAATGATGACATGATATTGACTCGACTGAGGCTGGACATCAACGAGACAAAACTTCAAGAAATCTTTGGTGCTTATGGCACAGTGGTGAGTTGCAAGGTGCTCATCTTGCCCTTTCCGAGTCTTTTCCACTACCCTTCAATCATCTTCACTTCACGAATTCAATCTAAGCGGCTTGTGGATGCTTGAAGCAACTTGCGGATTGCGGGGATGGTTGTGGAATGCAGTGGGAAAGCGGAGGTTTTCCGACGGTCGCTGTGCCAGCTGCCAGGTCTTGCCGGGCGAAGGCAGGCCCGACAGAGCTGCCTTGGTGCGCTTTGGGTCCGCAGATGAAGCAAAGTGGATTGTGCAGAGAGCCAGCCTGGCAAGTTGGAGAATTGATGCGCATTGAAATACACAATTCATGGCAAGTTTTGGCTCAAATTCATTATCAATCAGGTGTGGACAGTGTGGAACCATTGGAATCCGCTAGAAATTGACCAATTTGTGGCGCCAGGTCAGTGGAGAAACCTTGGGTTTGCCTGGTCCCATTAGTGTGACTTGGCAGAGATTGTCAGAGATCGGCAGAGATTGGCAGTGTTGCGATAGCTCAGATAGTCTTGGAAAGCTGGTGCGGGTGGTGGTGTTTTCCCGAATGCGTAGCAAGGGTTCCCGTTTCACTCTGGGGGAGGGTGTGTTCGCTCGACGTTGCCTTCACGGTCGCAACCGTCCGCAACCGTTCGCAACCGTCCGCAACCGTCCGCAACCGTTCGTGTGAGGACCGTATGGCCGTGCCTATGGGAAGTTCTGCAGGAGGGATCATTTTTGGAGGTTTCAGACGTCTGGTTGCTTCGTTTCGCGTGGCAGGCGTGGCACTTCGTGACATTCAGCAACGTTCTGTAACGTGTCGAAAGTCGTTTTGTGTGGCAGGTGCAATACTTTTGCGACGTTTTGCGAAGATGCGTGGCAGATTTCGTGGCAGGCGCAGCACTTTCGACGTGTCCATCGTCATTTTTCGTGGCAGGCACAGCACTTTAGACGTGTCGTGTTGCGTGTTTTTTTGTAAATCGCATTTTGGCAGGGCTTTCGTCAAGTGGCGACAAGGTGCAAATTCCGTGGCAGTCGTGGCATTTTGTGTGATGTGCTGAAAATTGACGGAAGCCTCGCACGAAACATCGATTTTGAGGTTGCAAATTTTCATGTTCTAAGGAAAACTCGTAGGAAAACGTCGATTTTGAAGCTACAAAGTGTGAAAATTGGAGGAAGTCTCGCACGAAATGCTCGTTTTGGTGCTTCCACCTGTCTCGTCTCGCGTCATTGGTTTTATGGTGGTTTCGCCGTGTCTATGGGGGAAGCTGCAAAACATGTCTCTTCGGCATGTTTCAAAGTGTGAAAATTGGAGGATGTCTGGCACGAAATGCTCGTTGTGGTGCTCCTCGTCTCGAGTCTCTGGTTTTCCTGTGGTTTCGCCGTGTCTATGGGGGAAGCCGCAAAACCTCTCATTTTCGAAGGTTTCCACGCAGGTTGTCATGTCGTTTTGCTTGGCAGGCGTGGCACTCTGTGACATTCCAACCTGTTTAATAACATGTCGAACATGTAAAAATTGGAGGAAGTCTCGTACAAAATGCTGATTTTTTCTGTATCCACATATCTTGTCTCGAGTCTCTGGTTTTCCTGTGGCGTCGCCGTGTCTATGGGGCAAGCTGCAAAACATCTCTTTTTGAAAGCCCAAGCAGGTTGTCATGTCGTTTTGCGTGGCAGGCAAGGCACTTCGTGACATGCCAACCTGTTTGCTAACGTGTCGAAAATGTCAAAATTGGAGGAAGTCTCGCCCGAAATGATCGTTTTTCCTGCACCCACGTGTCTCGTCTCGAGTCTCTGGTTTTCCTGTGGCGTCGCCGTGTCTTTGGGAGAAGCTCCGCACTCCACACGCTACATTTTACACTCCACACTCCACAATTTACACTTTAGACTCCACACTTTACACTTTACACTCCACACTTTACACTTTGCACTTTACACTCCTGACTCCTCACTCGAGACTTTACACTCCACACTCCAGACTCCACACTTTACACTCCACACTCCTCACTCTACACTTTGCACTCTACACTTTACGCTCTACACTTTACACTCTAGACTCCACACTTGACATTTTACACTCCAGACTTTACACTTTACACTCCTCACTCCACACTTTACACTCCACACTCCCCACTTTACACCCCACACTCCTCACTTTACACTCCACACTCCACACTTCTCACTTTACACTCCGCACTCCACACTCTACACTTTCCACTCCACACTCCACACTTTACACTCCGCATTCCACACTCCACAATTTACACTTTAGACTCCTGACTCCTGACTCCACACTCCACACTCTACACTATACACTCCACACTCCACACTTTACACTCCACACTCCACACACTACACTTTACACACTATACTTTACACTCTACACTCCACACTTTACAGCTTAAACTCCACACTTTACACTTTACACTCCACACTCTACACTTTACACTCTACACTTTACACTCTACACTCCACACTTTACACTTTACACACTCCACACTCCTCACTCCACACTTTCCACTCCACATTCCACACTCCTCACTTTACACTCCACACTCCACACTCTACACTTTACACTCCGCACTCCACACTCCACACTTTACACTTTACACTCCGCACTCCTCACTTTACACTCCACACTCCACACTCTACACTTTCCACCCCACACTCCACGCTCTACACTTTACACTCCACACTCCACACTCCTCACTTTACACTCCACACTCCACACTCTACACTTTACACTCCGCACTCCCAACTCCACACTTTACACTCCGCACTCCTCACTTTACACTCCACACTCCACACTCTACACTTTCCACCCCACACTCCACACTCTACACTTTACACTCCACACTCCGCACTTCACACTCCACGCTCTACACTTCACACTCCACGCTCTACACTTTACACTTTACTCCACACTCTACACTTTACACTCTACACTTTACACTCTACACTCCACACCCTGCACTCTACAATTTACAAAATCCACACTCCTCACTCCACACTTTACACTCCACACTTTACACTCCACATACTCCACACTCCTCACTTTACACTCCACACTCTACACTTTCCACTTTCCACTCCACAGTCCACACTCTACACTCCACACTCCACACTTTACACTCCTCACTCCACACTTTACACTCCGCACTCCTCACTTTACACTCCACACTCCACACTCTACACTTTCCACCCCACACTCCACACTCTACACTTTAAGTTCCACACACCACACTTTACACTCCAAACTCTACACTTTACACTCCACACGCTACACTCCACACTCCACACTCCACACTCCACACTTTCCACCCCACACTCCACACTCTACACTCTACACTTTACACTCCACACTCCGCACTCTACACTCCAAACTCTACACTTTACACTCTACACTTTACACTCTACACTCCACACCCCACACTCTACAATTTACAAACTCCACACTCCTCACTCCTCACTCCACACTTTACACTCCGCACTCCACACTCCTCACTTTACACTCCACACTCCACACTCCACACTCCACACTTTCCACTTTCCACTCCACACTCCACACTCTACACTCCACACCCCACACACTACACTTTACACTTTACACTCCTCACGCCACACTCCACACTTTCCACTTTCCACTCCACACTCCACACTCTACACTCCACACTCCACACTTTACACTTTACACTCCTCACGCCACACTCCACACTTTACACTCCACACTCCTCACTTTACACTCCAAACTCTACACTTTACACTCCACACGCAACACTCCACACTCCACACTGCAGACTGGTAACAGGGGAAATATGTACAAGCCTGTTCAACTAAACTATTGCAGAAAAGTGTTCTGCGTGATTGCAAATCTATGTGTTTTGACATCTGTACCATTAACATACGTGTTAGCATTCGGGTTCGTGGGCTGCATCTTGTTTCCACCAAGGTGAAGTTTGCGGCTTCGAAGATGACACCAGGACCGAGCATCACAAACAGTTGATGCATCACAACACAGCAAGATGTGTCGAGTGGTCATTTGACCGTTCACCAAAAGGACAAGCTGGACCAGGTGGGAAAGGCTATGGTGGCAAAGGCTTTGATGGCAAAGGCTTTGATGGCAAAGGTTATGGTGGTAAAGGCTATGGCGGCAAAGGTGGCGGCTGTGGCCCTGGCTACGGCGGTTGTCCTGGGAATCAATTCTCACTTCCTCCAGGGCGTGGGGTGCAAGCTGCACGACTTGGCAACTTGGCAACACAGTTAGGGGTTCTTCCAGGCTCAAAATGTCTCAAGCTCATGCAGCTCATGACCATGTCTAGCTTCAAAGAGAGTGATGTCTGTATCCAGGAACGGTGAGAGCTGTTCTGGGAAGCAGTGTCTCGGCAACTTCTGTACTTTGAATTTGAAATAAAGCATTTGCTGCAGGGTCAAGGGAGAGTAGTGACAATCGTCGGTGACGCCAGCAAGACCCCAATCAATCAATCAATCAACCAACCAATCAATCAATCAATGAATGAATCAATCAATCAATCAATCAATCATTCAATCAATCAATCACTCACTCACTCAATCAATCAATCAATCAATGAATCAATGAATCAATCAATCAAATAAATCAATAAAAAAATATGTATATATATATATCTCTCTCTGCGTGTATGTCTATGTAATTATATTTTAGTACGGTAGCAATCTTTGAATGGCCTGTGCATCGTGTCGTGTTCACCGCGTTCACGTTTACCATTCCAACCGAGGCCTGCTCGTATCCCCAAGTGAGGGCGGCCTTGATGTTTCCGTCCCGAGAGAATTGCTGCTGGATGGAGACCCACAGGCCAGCCTCGGGGGCCTCGGGTGCCTTGGGTGGGGCTCAGGTGCAGTGCATGTGAGTCGTTGTGAGTCGTTGTGCATCGACTGATTTGATCCTTTGATCCTTGCAGATTGGTGGCTTGGTGTCATTCAGCGCCAGCACTGGCGCAGATTACGGCAGGGCTCCTCAAGGCGCGATGGAGGACCATTAGTCAATAGATGTCAATCGTAAGAGGGATTGCATTTGCATCAGCAATCACCATCATTGCCATGATTGCCATCATTGCCATCATGAACCTGAACTGGAGTATATACCGTTGTCCTGTCTCTATTGTAGATGTTGGTAGATATTCAGTGTCAAAGGCTGACGTGATGGAGACATGGAAGATGAAGTAAAGAGTTGCCCGGAGAGCATGTTGATCCAACTTCTCTCTTGAGGACACTAACCAAGATCTGTGTTTGTCATGTCCTGGGAATGCTACATTGACATTATACCGTCGAATTGTTTGCTCTTAATTACAGCAATTCCATCACAGATGAATAGTATGCTGGTTTCACTATGCCGCTATGAATCAGAATTTGTGAGAGCTTCCAACAGCTCAACTTGACTCTACTTGCATGAGGTGGCATGAACAACAGGTTCTCACCCTACGGCGCTGGTGGGGGCAATTTCAATCCACAGAGAGCTATAGCAGCTACTTCCTCAGTCCATTTAGAGCGAAAAGCAGCATTAAGCTCGATGTGCGCAAAGCGACAGTGGTGTTTTTTCCCAATTTTCAGCGACATTCGTAGCGACTTTGAAAGTTGGAACTCCAAGTCATATAACAATCGGCAAGTATTCCTCGTGTGAGGGTGGGCAGCAGTCCGGCGTTGTCAAGGCAAGGTCATGAGCATAATGAAACATAGCCGTGCAGATTTTGGCATTGAAAGCATGCGAAGATGCCAATGCCCTGTGACACATCGCATATCTCGTCGGTGATGCAGGCCTGGATGGAAAACAGAGGTATGGGCTTCATTGCTCCAAGTGATGGAAGTGCAGACCTATTTGTACACAGAAGCTATTTGCAAGATGGAGGATTTGCACAGATCTAAACTTTCAGAGTTGCAGAGTTTTGCAGAGTTTGCCCTTGCTACTCATCGAAATCTGAGATGTCTTATATGGGTGGCATCGCGGTCAATGTGCTGCAGGATCACTTGCCCTTGGCTCACAAGTGACATTCACGGCGGAATTTGCTCCTGGGCTGAAGCGGCTGATGTTTCTGTTTGATCCCCCGCACTGACTTATGAGATTGCTTAGCCGTGCCTTCGAACGAGCAAACAGCCAAGGATCCGCAAAAGGGCAAGCCAATCGCCAAAAATGTCATGGGTGCCATACCTCAGCCGCCTCAATAGGACGAACCTTGGTTGCACAGAAGTTGCAGAACATGTTGAAACCTCGCATACCTGCACCCGGCTCTACTCTACTTTTCGCATTCATGCGTGTAATTTGCACTCGCCAAGAGAGAGAAAGAGAGAGAGAGAGAGAGAGGGGGAGAGAGAGAGAGAGAGAGAGCGAGAGAGAGAGAGAGAGCGAGGGAGGGAGGGAGGGAAGGAAGGAAGGAAGGAAGAAAGACAGACAGACAGACAGACAGATAGACAGACAGACAGACAGACAGACAGAAAGCGAGAGAGAGAGAGAGAGAGAGACAGAGACAGAGACAGAGACAGAGACCGCGACAGAGACAGAGACAGAGAGAGACAGAGAGAGATAGAGAGAGAGAGAGAGCGAGCGAGCGAGGGAGAGGGAGAGAGAGAGAGAGACAGAGACAGAGACAGAGAGAGAGAGAGAGAGTGAACAGCACCGTCAAGACCTGTCGCAAACAGAAAACGATATTTGCCCGGCGTTGTATAACTTGGCCATAATTTTGGAAATTTGTAGGTCTATGAAGCCAGGTTGGGTGTTGGACTGGACATTGGTTGATAGGGTGTGAGACATTGGATCCATGACCCATCATATCCCGTGGTTGATGCTTTGTGCCTGTGCACCTTTCGTCCATGTTTGGCTGTTATTCTTTGCCATTTGTGCTTGGCAGGGAACCTGCCAGACTAACAAGCTGGGCATCATCGGACAAAAAGTGCGGTTGGAAGTTGGAAGAGTCTTTGTGCATATTGTGCAGTAATGCATGATGCGACATGGATCACGCTGGAGCATTACCGAATATTGCCCACAAGCCAGAACACATGGAGCGGTTGGTCAGAAACTACAGCATGAAGACTGTCGGCTGCAGTTTGTTGGCTCTGTGAAGTAGCGTAGAGAGCGCTCATGTAGGAAACGATGGGCTTCGGCGGTTTCATATCTGGACTTGCCCCTCAGCAGCAATGCAAGATTTGTGTATTGAACGTTTCAGCTTTGCTCAAGACCGCAAGATTATGAGACTAGCAATTATGGAACTCCAAAGATTCAAAGTTTTCTTCGAGCTTCGATGTTCAATCATGTTCGACCTCAGCTCTCCCGTCTATCCATGTTTTCCCGGAAGCTCCTGCAAAGGTTTTTTTCCACAGAACTGCTGCCAAATTTCAACTTCTTACTTCATCTACACAACATCTACTACTTCTTTTACATCACCTACATCATCTACATCCACATCATAAATCCTCTACATGATCTATATCAACTTCTTCTACACCATACATCACATACATCATCAGCATCATGTCCATCAACTTTATCAACATCACTCTCACATACATCAGCTTCATCCACATCACATGCGTACATGACATACATCATGCACACACACACACGTTCTTACACAAGAGTTGTGATAGCGGTTGTTTTGCAGCAGTTGTTACACAGGAGTTGTTAAACCGCTTCACAGGAGTTAACTTTAGGTGACCTAGTTGTGTCTGAACTTCTGCAAAACTCCTATTTCTCAAGTTCTTCGAACTTTCTCTCTTTTGGCGGCAGGGGCAGCCAGGCCTCATCCATCGAAACGTGACCCTCTGCGAAGATTGCGCGTGTCGGATGCACAAACGTCTGCTGACATGCGAATTTTGTTTGTCCTGGGCAGCCCGCGTGTGTCGGACGCAGAAACGCGCGGTGAAATGTAAACTTTCTGTGGCGTGGTGCCTCCCTTTCGCACGAAACGAGGGCTTAATGTCAAGAACTGGCAATTTTGAAAGCTCAGATGCACAACTTTGCGCGAAATGAAGGTCGAACGGCAAAAACTGGTGTAAAATTGCGATTCTAGATTCTAGAACGTCAAACGCAAATGTTGGAATTTTGCAAGATCAGATCAACCATTTCGAACGAAATGAGGGAGGAACGTCAAAAACTTGTGTAGTGTTTTTGAAACTTCGGACGCAGCCCTTTCGCACGAAATGAATGTCGAATGTCAAGACTGGCGTAAAATTGCGATTTTAAAATCGCAGATGCAACCTTTTCGCACGAATGGAGGTCTAACGCCAGAAACTGCGGTAAAATTGCCATTTCGCAACGTCGCAAAGGTCCTCTCTGGCAAGGGTCCTGTGCCTGTAAAATGTAAATGCTTCTGTGTGTGAAAACTTGCGTGTCAATGCTTCTGTGTGTAAAAACTAGCCTGTGTAAATTTTGCTCTGTGTAAAAGCTTCTGTGTGAAAATGCGCTTGTGTGTAAAAGCTTCTCAGTGTAAATGTTCCCTTGTGTAAAAGCTCCTGTGTGTAAAAACCCCTCTGTGTAAAGACTTCTCTGTTAACAGTTTCTGTGTGTAAATGCTCCTGTGTCAAGACTTCTCTGTGCAAAAGCTTCTATGTCTATGTGTAAAAGCTCCTCTGTGTAAAGACTTCTCTGTGTAAAAGCTTCTGTGTGTAAAAGCCTCTGTCTGTAAAAGCTGTTCTGTGCAAAGGTTCCTCAGTGTAACAACTCTGTGTCCAAGTTTTTTGTGTAAAAGCTTCCCTGTGTAGAGACTGACAACGACCTAAAGAATATCCATGGGCAATCCTCGTTGTGCTGAGGGACAAGCAAACAAAGTGCCATCCCACATGTGTTCCGTGAGTACGAGCAAACATGTGGCAGTGCTCTGGACAGTGTTGTGAAGAGGTTGGAAGGCATTGGTATTAGTCCCATTGCGGCTATACTTCAGCGTGTTTCCTGTTCCACCAACTGCTCGAGATGGTAAAGTTTCCATTGAGCGCACAGGGCGGGTTCCAAGATTTCATTCCGAAGACGCGAAGACGCGAAGACGCGAAGACGCGAGCAGCCCCCCGCAGCGTCGCAGCGTCGCAGCGTCGCAGCGTCGCGACACCGCGAAGACGCGAGCAGCACCCCCAGCGGCGTCGCAGCGTCGCAGCGTCACGGCACCGCAAAGACACGAAGACGCGAGCAGCCCCCAGCGGCGTGGCAGCGTCGCAGCGTTGCAGCGTCGCGAAGATGCGAGGAGACCCCAGCGACGTGGCAGCGTCGCAGCGTCATAGCGTCGCGAAGACGCGAAGACGCCAAGACGCGAGGAGACCCCAGCGGCGTGGCAGCGTCGCAGCGTCGCGAAGTCGCGAAGACGCGAGGAGATCCCAGCGGCGTGGCAGCGTCGCAGCGTCGCAGCGTCGCTACACCGCGAAGAACGAGAGCAGCCCCCTCAGCGGCGTCGCAGTGATCACGGAGTCCCTCGGAGGCCAAAGTGCCAGCGCAGCCGTTGCCAGGAACAAGAGATCAGGCGAGAAATCCCGAAACATTTGGCACATCAAAACACATCATTTTGAGATTTCTTATTTTCGATTCAGTACCAAGAGAAAATAGCAAAGAAAAGTTGAGAAAAGAGGAGAAGAGTAGAGAAAATGATACACAAATGATATGACATGTATGAAGAAGGGAACAAAACCTTCGTTGCTCCTCTGAGGTTCTGTTTGGTCGTAGGTGACCTGCCAAGACTGTAGCTCGTGTCTCGGCCCGTGAGGGTCTCTGATGCTTTGCTGGCTCCTGTCGAAGTAAACAAACACCAACTCAGGAACCTTAGACTTCTTCAGGCAGCCAGTGTAGCATCTTTGCGTTTTACTCAGGCATAAAACAGGGACCAAAACATAGACAGCAACAAGAGCTAGTGAAGGGAGACTTTTGGTGAAGGGAGACTTTTGGATCGTGTTGTCATCGTATTGATTCTGACTCTTTGGCCTGACTGCAGAGACATTCTTCGCAAAGCGAAGATGAATGGAATGGCGTGATGTTTTTGCATAGTTCATGAGCCTTGAGCGATGCAAATGCATCTTGGGCCAGACAAGGGGCTTTGCTCGCTGTAGTCTTGGAACCTGCAAGGCTGCCAGACTTTTGACCCAAACAAAGATGTTTGCCTCATCCTCTCTGTAGTTGGCTTCAGATGTACTTAGGATCATGATGCCGTTGATGGACATCAGATTGGCATCAACTTACCTTTCAGATCCAGATTCCACAAGCCTTGCCCACCAGACAGATGAACGCTTCGAATGGCATATCAGGACACATGTTGAACCAGTTGCGGGGGAACCTATAGGTTGCGTTGAGAGCCATGGCGAATATTGTTGGAGGTGTCCAAGGCCAGATACATGCGTCATTTCAGCCGGAGTGGATGGTGAGTTTCTTTTGTTGGCCATGTTCCGAATGGGAAAAAACAACAGTGTATTTGCCAACTGTGAACAGATACACCCAAAGACGCTGAACCAGGGTGATGTAAAGGTAGAATCAGAAACCTGCAGGCGATGTGTATAGGACAAAGTAGGCTGCCGCTGACTTTGTAAATCCTTGGTGCAGGTACTGTCAAGGCATGGATTGAGGCGAGAGGTATGGGTTTCATTGCACCGGCCGATGGCAGTGCGGATGTCTTTGTGCATCGTAGTGCATTGGTGGACGGCAACGCTCTGGTGGTTGGATCCAGTGTGATTTTTGAGTCCGGTTGGGACGATGCCAAGAGCAAACCGATTGCCACCAAGTGTGGTGGAGCAGTGGGCGCAACCAATGGCAGTGTACCTGGGTCTCCCACGCCATTGCCCAATGGACAACCGGGCACTGTTAAGGCTTGGATAGAGAATCGTGGTATGGGCTTCATTACTCCGGCAGATGGCAGCCAGGATGTCTTTGTCCATCGGAGTAATTTGGTTGATGGAAATAGTCTCGTCACCGGGGCAAAGGTGATATTTGAGGCTGGCTGGGACGAGCAGAAGGACAAACCCATTGCAAAAGCAGTCACTGGAGCTTCCACAAATCTTGGTGGTCCTCAATCTGGTCACCCGATGGTACCAAATGGACAACCTGGCACTGTGAAGGCCTGGATCGAGACCCGCGGTATGGGCTTCATCACTCCTGCGGATGGACGTGATGACGTATTTGTCCATCGCAGCAATTTGGTTGATGGCGACTCCCTGGTGGTGGGAGCACAAGTGATCTTTGAGTCGGGCTTCGATGCACAAAAGGGTAAACCGATCGCCAAGGCCCACGTGTCACAATTTTCGTTCTGACTTGAAACTTGCTGAAGCACTAAATCATTTGTCAAGACACTGCTGGTACGCTCAAAATCCTCACAGAAAATTGGATACTCTTGATGTTCCCCTAAGGTTTGAAGTCTCCTTGTCTAAAATGTCCGAACATTTTCACACCCCAAGGGTCCCAAATCCACGCATCATCACAGGCCTGTGCTGGTGCCGTGCCAGGCGGGTTCACTGTGATTGCTGCGATTCCCGCCTATTTGACATTGAAACATACAGGTAGTGGAAGCAGCTGCTAAACATGTTGAGTAAGCAGAGAGGTTTCCCCAAATCCTCTCGTGAATCACATTTCCATCATTTTTCCCATCATTACATGGGCAATTCTTCGATATTTTCGGGGTATACAGTATACAGCATGCCCCAGGCCAGGGCGGACCTCCGCCGGGCATGGCTTATGGAGGCGGAGGCATCCAGACCTGTGGTGGTACTATTAAGGTGCCATGGCAGAATTATCATGATACATTGTGTATATACATACATATGATTATGTATATACATATAGTTATATTATTGTGTATATACATATTAGTTATCCATTTATATATACGTATATATATATATAGTGACCGGCTGAAAGATAGAATATTGTACTCTTAGTCGGGACAAGATAGAATAACAAAAAACACAGGATCTAGCACCCACAAGATAGAATATTCTGAAATTAAAAGAATCAAAAGATAGAATATTCGATCTTTCAGCCGGTCAATATATATATATATAGTAGTAAGTGTCCCAGCTCCCACTACCAAACTTATATAGATAATACCCTGCAAAATACGTTGTCTGGTCAGTAAATACCCACAATTATAGCCAAAGATCAGTCAGTACAAAACTTACTTATACTACTCATCCAGTCACCCTACTTCCAGACCCCTATTAGTCATTGTTTCTTTATTTTTCATCAGTTTTCATTGTTTTTTCTCTATTTTTCATAATGTTTCATTGTTTTGTTCACTCTTTTTCATCATTGTTTCTTGTTTTTTTCTCTCTTGTTCATCATTTTTCATTGTTTTTTCCTCTATGTTTCATCATATTTCCTTATTTTTCCACTATTTTTCATCATTTTTCATAGTTGTTTCTCTATTATTCATCATTGTTCATTCTTTTTCCTCTATTTTTCATAATTGTTCATTGTTGTTTCTCTATGTTTTGCATCATTTTTCATTATGTTTTTCTCTGGCTCGTCATTTTTCATTTTTTTGGTTATCTCTTTTTCATCATTTTTCATTGTTTTTTCTCTCTTTTTCATCATTGTTCATTGTTGCTTCTCTATTTTTCATCATTTTTCATTGTTGTTTCTCTATTTTTCATCATGTTTCATTGTTTTTTCTATCTGTTTCATCATTTTTCATTGTTTTTTTCTCTCTTGTTCATCATTTTTCATGTATTTTTCATAATTGTTCATTGTTTTCTCTCTTTTTTTCATCATTTTTCATTGTTGGTTCCTCTCTTTTTCATCATTGTTCATTGTTTTTTCTCTATTTTTCATAATTGTTCATTGGTTTTCTCTATTTTTTTCATTATTTTCCTCTTTTTCATCATTTTTCATGTTTTTTGTTTTCTCTTTTTCATCATTGTTCATTGTTTTTTCTCTCTTTTTCATCATGTTTCATTGTTTTTCTCCAGTTTTCATTGTTTTTCCCCCTATTTTTCATCACGTTTCATTGTTTTTTCTATCTGTTTCATCATTTTTCATTGTTTTTTTCCTGTCTCTTTCATCATTTTTCACTTATTTTTCATAATTGTTCATTGTTGTTTCTCTCTTTTTCGTCATGTTTCATTCTTGCTTCCTCTCCTTTGCATAATTTTTCATTGTTTTTTCTCTACTTTTCAAAATGTTTCATTGTTTTTTCTCTCTTTTTCATCATTGTTCAGTGTTGTTTCTCTATTCGTTCATCCTTTTTCATTGTTTTTCTCTTTTTCATCAGGTTTCATTTTTTTTCTCTCTTTTTCATCATTTTTCATTGTTGCTTCTCTCTTTTTCACCATGTTTCATAGTTTTTTCTCTCTTTTTCACCATTTTTCATTGTTTTTTCTCTATTTTTCATGATTTTTAATTGTTGTTTCTCTCTTTTTCATATGTTTTCATTGTTTTTTCCTTTTTTTTTCATCATTTTTCATTGTTTTTTTCATAATTGTTCATTGGTGTTTCTCTATTTTTCATCATTCTTCAATGTTTTTTCTCTCTTGCTCATCATTTTGCATTGTTTTTCCTCTCTTGTTCATCATGTTACATTGTTTTTTTCACTCTTTTTCATCAGTTGTTCTTTTTGTTTCTCTCTTGTGCATCATGTTTCATCGTTTTTTATCTTGTTTTCATCATTTTTCATTTTTTTGTTCTCTCTTTTTCATCATTGTTCATTGTTGTTTCTCTATTTTTCATCATTTTTCATTGTTGTTTCTCTATTTTTCATCATGTTTCATTGTTTTTTCTGTTCTTTTTCATCATGTTTCATTGTTTTTGTTTTATTTTCCATTATTTTTTCATTGTTTTTTCTATCTTTTCATAATTGTTCCTTGTTTTTTTCTGATTTTCATCATGTTTCATTGTTTTTCAATGCGTTTCAATTGTTTAATGTTATTCTTTGAGCTTTGATAAGGCTCAAAAATACGAAAACGGACAATATAGAATATTTTCGAGACCCTGGAGTGACATGGCTCCCAATTATATATTTGGAAGCTTCCATTGCGTGGATTTTTTGTTCCGTATGTTTCATTGTTTTTGTTGTATTTTTCATATTTTTTTTGTTGGTTTTCACCATTTTTCATTATTTTTCATTGTTTTTCAATTGTTTAATGTTATGGGTTGAGCTTTGATAAGGCTCAAAAATATGAAAACGGACAAGATAGAATATTTTCGAGACCCTAGAGTGACATGGTTCCAAATTACTTGGAGTTTTTCCATTGTGTGTGTGGAAATGCTCTTGTGTTGATTTTCTGAATACTTTTGTGCATATATATATATATAGCGGTTGTATAGGTTTTATTGGGTTTAAATCAGTTGGAGCCATGCCTACCCGCAATTCACAGCTGTTGCCGGTCCACTGCGTGGTCGCACCTCACACCCTCAATTTGCGGTTTTAACGCAAAACGTGGTGGAAACAAGTCTGAATATTTTGGGATTTACGTAGCAAAAATTGTTGGTTTTATCTGATATGCCAGGAATATGAAAAATACAACAAAAACAATGAAACATACGGAAAAAAAATCCACGCAATGGAAGCTTCCAAATGTATATATGTATATAATTTGGAGCAATGTCACGCCAGGGTCTCGAAAATATTCTATCTTGTCCGTTTTCGTATTTTTGAGCCTTATCAAAGCTCAAAAAATAACATTAAACAATTGAAAAGCATTGAAAAACAATGAAAAATGATGAAACAGATGAAAAAAAATAATGAAAAACTATGAACAGATAGAAAAAACAATGAAACATAATGAAAAATAGAAAAAAACAATCAAAAATGATGAAACAGATAGAAAAAAGCAAGGACAAATGATGAAAAAGAGAGAAAAAACAATGAAAATACATACATAGAATATGATAATGTATTACTACTATTACTACTAAAGTTATAACGGTAGTGATCTTGTCGTTTTAACCAAATGTCCTTATCAGCGTTACTAAAACCTTATCGTTGTTTCTGTATCCTTATCATGGTTATACTGTACCCTATGAAAAATGAAAAATAGGGGAAAAAACAATGAAAAATGATGAAGCCGAGAGAGAAAAACAATGAAACATGATGAAAAAGAGAGAAAAAAACAATGAAACATGATAAAAAAAAATAGAGAAACAAAAACAATGAAAAATGAAAAATAGAGAACCAACAGTGAAAAATGATGAAGACGAGAGAAAAAAACAATGAACAATTATGAAAAAGAGAGAAAAAAAACAATTAAGAAACACGTTCATCATGTTTAATCATTGTTCACTGTTTTTTTCTCTCTTTTTCATCATTTTTCATTGTTGTTTTCTCTTTTTCATCAGGTTTCATTATCTTTTTCTTTCATTGTTTTTTCCTCTCTTTTTCATCATGTTTCATGTTTTTCATTGTTTTTTTCTCTCTTGTTCATCATTTTTCATTGTTTTTCTCTCTCGTTCATTGTTTTTTCACTCTTTTTCATCATTTTTCTTGTTTTTTTTCTCTCTTGTTCATCATTGTTCATTGTTTTTCTCTCTTTTTCATCATTTTTCATTGTTTTTTCTCTCTTTTTCGTCATGTTTCATTGTTTTTGTTCACTTTTTTTCATCATTTTTTCTTGCTTTTTCTCTCTTGTTCATCGGTGTTCATTGTTGTTTCTCTCTTTTTCATAATGTTTCATTGTTTGTTCTCTCTTTGTCATCATTGTTCATTGTTTTTTCTGTATTTTTCATCAGTTTTCATTGTTTTTTCTCTCTTTTTCATCATGTTTCATTGTTTTTCCTTCTTTTTCGTCATGTTTCATTGTTTGTTCTCTCTTTTTCATCATTTTTCATTGTTGTTTCTCTCTTTTTCATCATGTTTCATTGTTTTTCTCTCCTTTTCATCATTTGTTCTTGCTTTTTTCTCTCTTGTTCATCATGTTTCATTGTTTTTTTCTCTCTTTCATCATGTTTCACTGTTTGTTCTCTCTTTTTCATCATTGTTCATTGGTTTTTTCCTATTTCTCATTATTTTTCATTGTTTTTCATTGCTTTTCAATTGTTTAATGTTATTCTTTGAGCTTTGATAAGGGTCAAAAATACGAAAACGGACAAGATACGAGACCCTGGCGTGACATGGCTCCAAATTAAATATTTGGAAGCATTCCATTGCGTGGAAATGCTTGCGTGTTGATTTCCAAGATATGTGTATATATATATATATTATATAGAGAGATATAGATATATAACCGTGGCAGGAGGGAGTCCACTTGGCATGTTGACTTAGCGTCCTGTTGCTTCAAAAATCATCAGTAGTTTTCTGCACAGGCATGCACGAAATTGACAAGATAGAATATTCAAGGGGGTGTTCCCATATTGGAACATGTTGGATTCAGAATTGTTGGCAATCCCTAAGCAGAATTTGTTTAACATCATTTCACAGTAGCACCCTGTTGCTTCAAAAAATCATCAGTAGTTTCAAAGTTTTCTGCACAGGCATGCACGAAATTGACAAGATAGAATATTCAAGGGGGTGTTCTGTGAATTTTTGTAAATATTCTATATTAATATTCTATCTTGTGGTGTTTTTTCCGAGTGGGAGGCCGATGGTAATTTTCTCACTCGCGTGTCTGGTAGTGAAAAATATTCTATCTTTCAGGCGGTCACTATATATATATAATTGCTGACGCCCCCATGATCTACCCAACACGGCACCATTGCAATCAAAAGGATACCCAATATGCATGTGAGCTTTGCATGTGAGCTTTACCACAAACCTCAGAGAAACAGATGTATGGTACCAGTCTGTGAATTACCATTTTGGCTTCTTAACCTAGCGATGCACAACATGAAACAAAAAAACATACTCACGGAAGGTATCTGTACACCTCTTCTTTTGGATATGTTTTTTCGATGAAGTAGAGGTAACATAGTGAGAATAATGTTTTGATCAGCCAGATTTGACAAAAAAATGAATATACCTGCATTATAGCTTCAATATACCTTTAATATCCAATTTTATTGACCATAAACATATGTTTAATAAACCCTTAATAAACCCTTAGTATACCCTTAGTGTTCCTTTAGTATACCTTTAGTATACCTTCAACATACCTTTCAAATACGATCTAATACACCTCTAACATACTATTTGATATACCTGTAGCGTACCAGTGGATATATGATGAATCTACCTCCAATATACCATTTAATTGACCTTGTAAATACCTTCAATATACCTTACTGTACCTTAAATATACCTTCAATAAATACTGTATATCTTCAATATACCATTATATACATATATACACCTTTAATATACAATGAAGTTTATCTTTTGTATACCATTCAATATACAGTGAATATACCTTTTGTTTGCCTTCAATATACCTTCAATATACCATTTTATTGACCATGAACATATCTTTAATACCTTCAACATATTAAATTGCACATTAACGGTTTATTAAAAGCAAATTAAATCGTAAATATAGGTCTACTAAGGGTATGTCTATATATATATACAAATATAAAGTATGCCAAGCTATATATTCTTTACTGTACATACACATGATTATAGTTATATATAAATATATATATACATACATTCATTACACAGTATAAGTATGATTCAAATTATATCATGAAACTGTGTAGACATTCTGGACGTTTGCGTAGAATGTGTTCTTCCTTCGTCACATCACCTAACCTCCAAGACTTGTTTGTGTTTGTCGGATGCTGATTTCCTGCAACAAAAGTGCCTGCTTGCTTTGGAAGTAGAGCACCCAATAGGACATTATTTTTTGGATTGTTCTGCTTGGCCAAGGTCTGGTTTGCGGACAAAGGATATGGCCGCTTGGTGTAACACTCTATGAAGCTGGTGCAGACTGAAAAAAACATTGCAACATATGTGCAACAAGTACATTGAAGCGGACAAGAAGATCAATCTGATGCTGAGTGAAAGGGGCTAGCAGAGCGTCCTCCAATCTAAACACTTATATATATATATCCAATCGGTTAATTTTATAGTACCAGGCAGCACAGCTTCCAAAACCCATAGCCTTCTTGGTTCTTAACTCATCAGGTTTTATCACCTTGGACAACGGCATGGGAGATGCCTTTGCCGGAAGTGGTGCCATGCCTCCTGGTATGATTCCGACAGATGGCATCTGGGCAGCAACAATGCGAAGTCCCTGCCATGACTCGCAGAAAGCCATGGATTTTCAATGATTTTAATGGAACAGATGGAATATACCAAGACACTTATAGACACTTCAACAATCTTCAGGTTTTGTTTTTGACCTGGTCAAGACAAGGTTTGCGTATCACTTGCTCTGTGCAGTGGAACAACGAAAAGCAGAAGTACACAGCAGTTGAGGAGCGCCAAGTCTTGAGAGATGTAAGAAGTGTAACGACTGTAGAGACAGCATCATTTCATATACCAAAAAAGTCTCCATGCTGCTGCTGGCCTGGCTGCAGATCTTTGATGCTTCGAAAGGGAAGGGCAAAGGTGGCGCGCCAGGCTGGGTGCGATCCAGAATCGCTCCGTGTTCGACCTGCAAACTGTTCCCTGTATCTCCTTGTGACATCCAGTGAATCTACACCAAACCTTTGTCATTTCCATGTACCGTGCGACAGAATGCACAGCATCTTGATACTTGCTTGCAGCTGCTTTGTAGCCACGTGAGATCTGTTTTGCTTAGGCGATACTTCCGACAACTGCTTTGTCTCCGGGCTTCCGTGCCTTATCTTCAGCTGGAACTGGAGACTTTTTTTTGTTCCTCCTTTTTGCTCAGTCTCTGAAACTACTTGGGTCTGACAAGAGGATTGGTGAGAAAATTCCAAGTTTATGTTTAGTTTCAATCCTAACACTTATGAACAATCCTCGAAGAAACATAGTGGTAGGATTAGCCTTTCTTGTTTTGCATGTCCCAGTGCACACAACCTGCCCAACTTCAAGCACATTGTTTGCGGACCTTGAACCACAGCATACTTTTACAACATACTAGTGATTGGCTTTTCATAGGTCCACCGTTTACACTTTGTACATTTCTCACTTTGTGTACAGTTTAGCTCAAGACATCGACCGCATGTCAACCATGTGGCCTGTCAACCATTTGTGTACGGCTATGTACAACGAGCTCAAAAGCATTTACATGGATTGACAGGACATATAGATCAAGACTTGAGGTGCTGAACTTGTTTGCTGGAGATGTGTAAAGCCTTCAACCGGCGCTGCTTACACAAGACACAACTGTGTGGAAGGCAGGCACGCAACGCACGCAACATATGGACCACAAAAAAACCGCTGATCCTGGTCAGCGAGATTCATTTTGAAAGCCATCGGATGCCTACTCCTTTGCATGACTCCGTACGACACAATTTCACCGATGTTCAGTGGCATGGACTCAAATGTGTCCTCACATGCCTCACCTTTCCAGAATTTAGCCCACGATTTCAGAATCTTTCACAGTGTTGCGTTTGCACTCACATCCGTCACATCCGTCACATCCGTCACATCCGTCACATCCGTCACATCCACTAAAACTGTGCTATACGGCCTGGATTGTTTGGACAGCAGACCAACCAGGAAGGACAGACAGACAGGTGCCAATACCTTGATATGTCATGCAGCCTCTTGGAATGACACGCTTGACACGGTATGCAGCAGTGCTCACCACATCACAGCTCCCATATCACATGATATGGCATGGCTGTCCACAATGTCTCATGGCATTCTTGTGGTGGCATAGGTGGTGGCACACTGCGACACCTACAGCTCATCAAGGATAACATCAGAAAGGATTACATCTCGTATTTCGTGCAGATCCACACTGTGACACACGTGTGGTATGTGGAACGCCGGAATAATGATGATCTGAGTGGCCTTGGCTCACCAGGCTTTCCATTTCGAAGGCCTTGACAGGGCAGGAGGCATTTGTGGAGCAGGACTTGGTGTGGGCCACGATTGCGTTTTGAAAGCAACAGCAGTAATAGTGAATAATAGTATAGTGATGGAATCATAACCAGGGGAAGCCTTGGTGCATCACGTGAGATTTGCCACAACTCAAGAGAACGTCCAAACATGAAGTCCTTTTGCAAGTGCACCACGACTAGTGACTCACATCGGATACCAAAACCTTGTTGTCCAATATTGCAATGTTTAATATTTTTCTTGTAGCTAGGAGAGGGCTGCGGTGTCATGGCCGCTTTTCTGTTCTGGTTGGAAACATCACTAAACATCCTCTTCTTGTCGTGGCTACTGCTATGTTTGATAGCAAGTAGTTGTCGTCATGGACATGGATGGCAATGATGACATGATATTGACTCGACTGAGGCTGGACATCAACGAGACAAAACTTCAAGAAATCTTTGGTGCTTATGGCACAGTGGTGAGTTGCAAGGTGCTCATCTTGCCCTTTCCGAGTCTTTTCCACTACCCTTCAATCATCTTCACTTCGCGAATTCAATCTAAGCACTCTAAGCGGCTTGTGGATGCTTGAAGCAACTTGCGGATTGCGGGGATGGTTGTGGAATGCAGTGGGAAAGCGGAGGTTTTCCGGTCGCTGTGCCAGCTGCCAGGTCTTGCCGGGCGAAGGCAGGCCCGACAGAGCTGCCTTGGTGCGCTTTGGGTCCGCAGATGAAGCAAAGTGGATTGTGGAGAGAGCCAGCCTGGCAAGTTGGAGAATTGATGCACATTGAAATACACAATTCATGGCAAGTTTTGGCTCAAACTCAGTATCAATCAAACTCAATCAGGTATCAATAATGCACCCCCAAAAATTTTGGTGTGGACAGTGGACCATTGGAATCCGCTAGAAATTGACCAATTTGTGGCGCCAGGTCAGTGGAGAAACCTTGGGTTTGCCTGGTCCCATTAGTGTGACTTGGCAGAGATTGTCAGAGATTGGCAGTGTTGCGATAGCTCAGATAGTCTTGGAAAGCTGGTGCGGGTGGTGGTGTTTTTTCCACCAAGGTGAAGTTTGCGGCTTCGAAGATGACACCAGGACCGAGCATCACAAACAGTTGATGCATCACAACACAGCAAGATGTGTCGAGTGGCCATTTGACCGTTCACCAAAAGGACAAGCTGGACCAGGTGGGAAAGGCTATGGTGGCAAAGGCTTTGATGGCAAAGGCTTTGATGGCAAAGGTTATGGTGGCAAAGGCTATGGCGGCAAAGGTGGCGGCTGTGGCCCTGGCTATGGCGGTTGTCCTGGGAATCAATTCTCACTTCCTCCAGGGCGTGGGGTGCAAGCTGCACGACTTGGCAACTTGGCAACACAGTTAGGGGTTCTTCCAGGCTCAAAATGTCTCAAGCTCATGCAGCTCATGACCATGTCTAGCTTCGAAGAGAGTGATGTCTGTATCCAGGAACGGTGAGAGCTGTTCTGGGAAGCAGTGTCTCGGCAACTTCTGTACTTTGAATTTGAAATAAAGCATTTGCTGCAGGGTCAAGGGAGTAGTGACAATCGTCGGTGACGCCAGCAAGACCCCAATCAATCAATCAATCAATCAATCAATGAACATATATATATATACACATATATATATATATATATCTGACTCTCTGCGTGTGTGTCTATGTAATTATATATTAGTACTGTAGCAATCTTTGAATGGCCTGTGCATCGTGTCGTGTTCACCGCGTTCACGTTTACCATTCCAACCGAGGCCTGCTCGTATCCCCAAGTGAGGGCGGCCTTGATGTTTCCGTCCCGAGAGAATTGCTGCTGGATGGAGACCCACAGGCCAGCCTCGGGGGCCTCGGGGGCCTTGGGTTGGGCTCAGGTGCAGTGCATGTGAGTCGTTGTGAGTCGTTGTGAGTCGTTGTGAGTCGTTGTGAGTCGTTGTGAGTCGTTGTGAGTCGTTGTGAGTCGTTGTGAGTCGTTGTGAGTCGTTGTGAGTCGCGTTGTGAGTCGTTGTGCGTCGTTGTGCGTCGTTGTGCGTCGTTGTGCGTCGTTGTCGTTGTCGTTGTCGTTGTCGTTGTGAGTCGTTGTGAGTCGTTGTGAGTCGTTGTGAGTCGTTGTGAGTCGTTGTGAGTCGTTGTGAGTCGTTGTGAGTCGTTGTGAGTCGTTGTGCGTCGTTGTGCGTCGTTGTGCGTCGTTGTGCGTCGAGTCGTTGTGAGTCGTTGTGAGTCGTTGTGAGTCGTTGTGAGTCGTTGTGAGTCGTTGTGAGTCGTTGTGAGTCGTTGTGAGTCGTTGTGAGTCGTTGTGAGTCGTTGTGAGTCGTTGTGAGTCGTTGTGAGTCGTTGTGAGTCGTTGTGAGTCGTTGTGAGTCGTTGTGAGTCGTTGTGAGTCGTTGTGAGTCGTGAGTGTGTGAGTCGTTGTGAGTCGTTGTGAGTCGTTGTGAGTCGTTCGTTGCGTTGTGGTCGTTGTGAGTCGTTGTGAGTCGTTGTGAGTCGTTGTGAGTCGTTGTGAGTCGTTGTGAGTCGTTGTGAGTCGTTGTGAGTCGTTGTGAGTCGTTGTGAGTCGTTGTGAGTCGTTGTGAGTCGTTGTGAGTCGTTGTGAGTCGTTGTGAGTCGTTGTGCGTCGTTGTGCGTCGTTGTGCGTCGTTGTGCGTCGTTGTGCGTCGTTGTGCGTCGTTGTGCGTCGTTGTGCGTCGTTGTGAGTCGTTGTGAGTCGTTGTGAGTCGTTGTGAGTCGTTGTGAGTCGTTGTGAGTCGTTGTGCGTCGTTGTGCGTCGTTGTGCGTCTTTGTGCGTCGTTGTGAGTCTTGTGCGTCGTTGTGCGTCGCTGTGCGTCGTTGTGCGTCGTTGTGAGTCGTTGTGAGTCGTTGTGCGTCGTTGTGAGTCGTTGTGCGTCGTTGTGCGTCGTTGTGCGTCGTTGTGCGTCGTTGTGCGTCGTTGTGCGTCGTTGTGCGTCGTTGTGCGTCGTTGTGCGTCGTTGTGCGTCGTTGTGCGTCGTTGTGAGTCGTTGTGAGTCGTTGTGAGTCGTTGTGCGTCGTTGTGCGTCGTTGTGCGTCGTTGTGCGTCGTTGTGAGTCGTTGTGAGTCGTTGTGAGTCGTTGTGAGTCCTTGTGCATTGACTGATTTGATCCTTTGATCCTTGCAGATTGGTGGCTTGGTGTCATTCAGCGCCAGCACTGGCGCAGATTACGGCAGGGCTCCTCAAGGCGCGATGGAGAACCATTAGTCAATAGATGTCAATCGTAAGAGGGATTGCATTTGCATCAGCAATCACCATCATTGCCATGATTGCCATCATTGCCATCATGAACCTGAACTGGAGTATATACCGTTGTCCTGTCTCTATTTTAGATGTTGGTAGATATTCAGTGTCAAAGGCTAAGGCTGACGTGATGGAGACATGTTGGGAAGATGAAGTAAGTAAGTTGCCCGGAGAGCATGTTGATCCAACTTCTCTCTTGAGGACACTAACCAAGATCTGTGTTTGTCATGTCCTGGGAATGCTACATTGACATTATACCGTCGAATTGTTTGCTCTTAATTACAGCAATTCCATCACAGATGCATAGTATGCTGGTTTCACTGCCGCTATGAATCAGAATTAGTGAGAGCTTCCAGCAGCTCAACTTGACTCTACTTGCATGAGGTGGCATGAACAACAGGTTCTCACCCTACGGCGCTGGTGGGGGCAATTTCAATCCACAGAGAGCTATAGCAGCTACTTCCTCAGTCCATTTAGAGCGAAAAGCAGCATTAAGCTCGATGTGCGCAAAGCGACAGTGGTGTTTTTTTCCCAATTTTCAGCGACATTCGTAGCGACTTTGAAAGTTGGAACTCCAAGTCATATAACAATCGGCAAGTATTCCTCGTGTGAGGGTGGGCAGCAGTCCGGCGTTGTCAAGGCAAGGTCATGAAGATAATGAAACATAGCCGTGCAGATTTTGGCATTGAAAGCATGCGAAGATGCCAATGCCCTGTGACACATCGCATATCTCGTCGGTGATGCAGGCCTGGATGGAAAACAGAGGTATGGGCTTCATTGCTCCAAGTGATGGAAGTGCAGACCTATTTGTACACAGAAGCTATTTGCAAGATGGAGGATTTGCACAGATCTAAACTTTCAGAGTTGCAGAGTTTTGCAGAGTTTGCCCTTGCTACTCATCGAAATCTGAGATGTCTTATATGGGTGGCATCGCGGTCAATGTGCTGCAGGATCACTTGCCCTTGGCTCACAAGTGACATTCACGGCGGAATTTGCTCCTGGGCTGAAGCGGCTGATGTTTCTGTTTGATCCCCCCCACTTGACTTATGAGATTGCTTAGCCGTGCCTTCGAACGAGCAAACAGCCAAGGATCCGCAAAAGGGCAAGCCAATCGCCAAAAATGTCATGGGTGCCATACCTCAGCCGCCTCAATAGGACGAACCTTGGTTGCACAGAAGTTGCAGAACATGTTGAAACCTCGCGTACCTGCGCCCGGCTCTACTCTACTTTTCGCATTCATGCGTGTAAATTGCACTCGCCAAGAAAGAGAGAGAGAGAGAGAGTGAACAGCACCGTCAAGACCTGTCGCAAACAGAAAACGATATTTGCCCGGCGTTGTATAACTTGGCCATAATTTTGGAAAATTGCAGGTTTATGAAGCCAGGTTGGGTGTTGGACTGGACATTGGTTGATAGGGTGTGAGACATTGGATCCATGACCCATCATATCCCGTGGTTGATGCTTTGTGCCTGTGCACCTTTCGTATCCTTTCGTCCTTGTTTGGCTGTTATTCTTTGCCATTTGTGCTTGGCAGGTAACCTGCCAGACTAACAAGCTGGGTATCATCGGACAAAAAGTGCGGTTGGAAGTTGGAAGAGTCTTTGTGCATATTGTGCACTAATGCATGATGCGACATGGATCACGCTGGAGCATTACCGAATATTGCCCACAAGCCAGAACACATGGAGCGGTTGGTCAGAAACTACAGCATGAAGACTGTCGGCTGCAGTTTGTTGGCTCTGTGAAGTAGCGTAGAGAGCGCTCATGTAGGAAACGATGGGCTTCAGCGGTTTCATATCTGGACTCGCCCCTCAGCAGCAATGCAAGATTTGTGTATTGAACGTTTCAGCTTTGCTCAAGACCGCAAGATTATGAGACTAGCAATTATGGAACTCCAAAGATTCAAAGTTTTCTTCGAGCTTCGATGTTCAATCATGTTCGACCTCAGCTCTCCTGTCCATCCATGTTTTCCCGGAAGCTCCTGCAAAGGTTTTTTTCCACAGAACTGCTGCCAAATTTCAACTTCTTACTTCATCTACACAACATCTACTACTTCTTTTACGTCACCTACATCATCTACATCTACATCATAAATCCTCTACATGATCTATATCAACTTCTTCTACATCATACATCACATTCATCATCAGCATCATGTCCATCAACTTTATCAACATCACTCTCACATACATCAGCTTCATCCACATCACATGCGTACATGACATACATCATGCACACACACACACGTTCTTACACAAGAGTTGTGATAGCGGTTGTTATGCAGCAGTTGTTACACAGGAGTTGTTAAACCGCTTCACAGGAGTTAACTTTAGGTGACCTAGTTGTGTCTGAACTTCTGCAAAACTCCTACTTCTCAAGTTCTTCGAACTTTCTTTCTTTTCGCGGCAGGGGCAGCCAGGCCTCATCCATCGAAACGTGACCCTCTGCGAAGATTGCGCGTGTCGGATGCACAAACATCTGCTGACATGCGAATTTTGTTTGTCCTGGGCAGCCCGCGTGTGTCGGACGCACAAACGTGCGGTGAAATGTAAACTTTCTGTGGCGTGGTGCCTCCCTTTCGCATGAAATGAGGGCTTAATGTCAAGAACTGGCAATTTTGAAAGCTCAGATGCACAACTTTGCACGAAATGAAGGTCGAACGGCAAAAACTGGTGTAAAATTGCGATTCTAGAACGTCAAACGCAAATGTTGGAGTTTTGCAAGATCAGATCAACCATTTCGAACGAAATGAGGGAGGAACGTCAAAAACTTGTGTAGTGTTTTTGAAACTTCGGACGCAACCCTTTCGCACGAAATGAATGTCGAATGTCAAGACTGGCGTAAAATTGCGATTTTAAAATCGCAGATGCAACCTTTTCGCACGAATGAAGGTCTAACATCAGAAACTGCGGTAAAATTGCCATTTCGCAACGTCGCAAAGGTCCTCTCTGGCAAGGGTTCTCCCTGTAAAATGTAAATGCTTCTGTGTGTGAAAACTTGCGTGTCAATGCTTCTGTGTGTAAAAACTACCCTGTGTAAATTTTGCTCTGTGTAAAGCTTCTCTGTGTAAAAGCTTCTGTGTGTAAAAACCCCTCTGTGTAAAGGCTTCTCTGTGTAACAGTTTCTGTGTGTAAACGCTCCTGTGTCAAGACTTCTCTGTGTAAAAGCTTCTATGTCTATGTGTAAAAGCTCCTCTGTGTAAAGACTTCTCTGTGTAAAAGCTTCTGTGTGTAAAAGCCTCTGTCTGTAAAAGCTGTTCTGTGCAAAGGTTCCTCAGTGTAACAACTCTGTGTCCAAGTTTGTTTTTTTATGTAAAAGCTTCTCTGTGTAGAGACTGCTTCGTGTAAAAGCTTCTCTGTGTAGAGACTGCTTCGTGTAAAGGCTTCTCTGTGTAAAAGCTCCTGTGTGTGCAACTGCTTCTCTGTGTAAAAGCTTCTGTGTGCAAAGACCCCTCTGTGTAAAGACTTCTCTGTGTAAAAGCTTTTGTGTATAACAGCGTCGGTGTGTCAAGGTGCAAGCTTGTTGCTTGTTTGGCTAAAACATGCCAAGTAATAACTTCTCTGTGCAAAAGCTTCTGTGTGAAAATGCGCCTGTGTGTAGAAGCTTCTCTGTGTGAATGCTTCTGTGTGTAAAAGCTTCTGTGTGAAAATGCGCCTGTGTGTAAAAACTTCTCTGTGTAAAAGCTTCTCTGTGTAAAAGGCCCCTTGTGCAAAAGCTCCTGTGTGTAAAAACCCCTGTGTAAAGACTTCTTTGTGTAATAGTTTCTGTGTGTAAACGCTCCTGTGTCAAGACTTCTCTATGTAAAAGCTTCTATGTCTATGTGTAAAAGCTGCGCTGTGTAAAGACTTCTCTGTGTAAAGACTTCTCTGTGTAAAAGCTTCTGTGTGTAAAAGCCTCTGTCTGTAAAAGCTGTTCTGTGTAAAGGCTCCTTAGTGTAACAACTCTGTGTCCAAGTTTTCTATGTAAAAGCTTCTCTGTGTAGAGACTGCTTCGTGTAAAGGCTTCTCTGTGTAAAAGCTCCCTTGTGTAAAAGCTCCTGTGTGCAACGGCTTCTCTGTGTAAAAGCTTCTGTGTGCAAAGGCCCCTCTGTGTAAAGACTTCTCTGTGTAAAAGCTTCTGTGTATAACAGCGTCGGTGTGTCAAAGCTTCTGTGTGTAAAAGCTTGTTTGTCTAAATCGTTCCCAGTAGTAATAACTTCTCTGTGCAAAAGCTTCTGTGTGAAAATGCGCCTGTGTGTAGAAGCTTCTCTGTGTGAATGCTTCTGTGTGTAAAAGCTTCTGTGTGAAAATGCGCCTGTGTGTAAAAACTTCTCTGTGTAAAAGCTTCTCTGTGTAAAAGGCCCCTTGTGCAAAAGCTCCTGTGTGTAAAAACCCCTGTGTAAAGACTTCTTTGTGTAATAGTTTCTGTGTGTAAACGCTCCTGTGTCAAGACTTCTCTATGTAAAAGCTTCTATGTCTATGTGTAAAAGCTGCGCTGTGTAAAGACTTCTCTGTGTAAAGACTTCTCTGTGTAAAAGCTTCTGTGTGTAAAAGCCTCTGTCTGTAAAAGCTGTTCTGTGTAAAGGCTCCTTAGTGTAACAACTCTGTGTCCAAGTCTGTGTAGAGACTGCTTCGTGTAAAGGCTTCTCTGTGTAAAAGCTCCCTCGTGTAAAAGCTCCTGTGTGTGCAACGGCTTCTCTGTGTAAAAGCTTCTGTGAGTAAAGGCTCCTTTGTGTAAAGACTTCTCTGTGTAAAAGCTTCTGTGTGTAACAGCGTCGTTGTGTCAAAGCTTCTGTGTGTAAAAGCTTGTTTGTCTAAATCGTTCCCAGTAGTAATAACTTCTCTGTGTAAAAGCGCCTCTGTGTAAAGGCTACTATGTGTAAAAACTTCTGTGTGTAAAAGCTTCTGCGTGTAAAAGCTGCTCTGTGCGTAAAAGCTGCTCTTGTGTAAAAACTGCCTTTATATGTAAAAGCTTGTGTGGGTAGAGGATTCTGGGCGTAAGCTTTGTTTGTGTGTGAAAGCTCCTCTGTGTAAAGACTTCTCTGTGTAAAAGCTTCTGTGTGTAACAGCGTCGTTGTGTCAAAGCTTCTGTGTGTAAAAGCTTGTTTGTCTAAATCGTTCCCAGTAGTAATAACTTCTCTGTGTAAAAGCGCCTCTGTGTAAAGGCTACTATGTGTAAAAACTTCTGTGTGTAAAAGCTTCTGCGTGTAAAAGCTGCTCTGTGCGTAAAAGCTGCTCTTGTGTAAAAACTGCCTTTATATGTAAAAGCTTGTGTGGGTAGAGGATTCTGGGCGTAAGCTTTGTTTGTGTGTGAAAGCTCCTCTGTGTAAAGACTTCTCTGTGTAAAAGCTTCTGTGTGTAACAGCGTCGTTGTGTCAAAGCTTCTGTGTGTAAAAGCTTGTTTGTCTAAATCGTTCCCAGTAGTAATAACTTCTCTGTGTAAAAGCGCCTCTGTGTAAAGGCTACTATGTGTAAAAACTTCTGTGTGTAAAAGCTTCTGCGTGTAAAAGCTGCTCTGTGCGTAAAAGCTGCTCTTGTGTAAAAACTGCCTTTATATGTAAAAGCTTGTGTGGGTAGAGGATTCTGGGCGTAAGCTTTGTTTGTGTGTGAAAGCTCCTCTGTGTAAAGACTTCTCTGTGTAAAAGCTTCTGTGTGTAACAGCGTCGTTGTGTCAAAGCTTCTGTGTGTAAAAGCTTGTTTGTCTAAATCGTTCCCAGTAGTAATAACTTCTCTGTGTAAAAGCGCCTCTGTGTAAAGGCTACTATGTGTAAAAACTTCTGTGTGTAAAAGCTTCTGCGTGTAAAAGCTGCTCTGTGCGTAAAAGCTGCTCTTGTGTAAAAACTGCCTTTATATGTAAAAGCTTGTGTGGGTAGAGGATTCTGGGCGTAAGCTTTGTTTGTGTGTGAAAGCTCCTCTGTGTAAAGATTCTCTGTGTAAAAGCTTCTGTGTGTTCAGTCTGCTTGGAAAATGTTTTTTTTCACGAGTGGGCGGTTGTTGGATCAAGGGAGATAAAAAATACGATTTGATCCAGCAGCATGAACGTGGGCAGGGACCTCCTGTCTGGGAGAGGGAGCTGTTTGGATTTCGCTTTTTGCATTGGATGGATCTCGTCTGTGCCGGTGTGCGTCATTACTACATCCTCCTGGAGAACTTGAACTTCAGGAACGCGGATGATCAACTTTTGGTCGATGCCCTTAGAGACACCGCCAGACAGCGCCCTCACATTTCATCATCATTCATCCTTAACCATCATATCTTCTTTACCATCCTCTTTTGATCTACTCCCCCCAGCTTTTCTTTTGGGCCAAAATTGTCGTCTATGGAAACCAAGGCTGCAGTCAACACTCACCTGCTGATGTGAGCAAAGATAAAGATGGATGCCTACTTGTATTTGCCAGTCAAATTTTCGAAAGTATGTAGCAAAATTTAGCAGGAGTCAACTCCAAACCATTTTCGTGCCACAGGAACGATGCAAGTCCAGCTGATGGAGGCCGGCTGTTTTTTCGAACTACCTCAACTTGAAACATCAAGTAGAGAATGCTAAGACGTGCTGGTGCTAAGAGTGAAGGAGGATTGGACGAAGCTCTTGTATGTGTTT